TCTAAGGCCAGGAGTTCAAGACCAGCCTGGGCAACATAGCAAGACCCCCAACTTCACAAAACATTTAAAAATTATCTAGGCATGGTGGTGCACACCTGTAGTCCCACCTACTCATGAAGCTGAATTGGGAGGATCACTTGAGCCCAGGAGGTTGAGGCTGCAGTGAGCTCTGATCACACCACTGCACTCCAGCCTGGGTGACAGAGTAAGACTTTGTTTCTGAAAAACAAAACAATAAAAGAAATGTTAGAAGGACACAGCCCCAGTGTGTGGAAGGCAGCAGTCCCTGCCCGGCCCCTGGCGCATCAGGCACTGCCTCATTCATCTCAAGCCTCTCCCTCTGCAATTCATCAAGCAGAGCTAATCACTTCCTTCCTTGGGTCACTCTACTGTCTAGTAAAACTTCTGGGGTGTAATCTCCTTCTGGGGTGTGACTCCGTGAGGGCTGAGACCCTTTCCTGTTTGTCTTGCTTCTCACAGTGGCCAGCACAGAGCCTGGGTCATGTGGGCAGCCCATGTGTGTGGGATGAGTGGTTGAGGGAACAAATATGACACAAGCAGCCTTTAGGGCAGAGAGGAGGAAGTAAAGTCATTAGCAAAATAGTCAAGACTCCAGCACCTTGAGTCCTGTCCTCAGCCCGCACTAGCTGGGTGACCTGAGGCAGATGACCCAACTTCTCAGGGCCTCAGTTTTGCATCTGTTAAATAGGGGTGACAGCAGTCCCCATCACAGGACTGCTGTGAGGGTTCAATTAGCTAGTATAAATAAAGCGCAATAGCAAAGACGTAGAATCAACCTGGGTGCCCATCCATGGTGGATTGGTTAAAGAAAACATGCTACACACACCATGGAATACTATGCAGCCATGAAAAAGAATGAAATCATGTCCTTTGCTGCAACATGGATGCAGCTAGAGGTCATAGTCCTAAGTGAATTAACACAGGAACAGAAAACCAAATACTGTACATTCTCATTTATAAGTGGGAGCTGAACATTGGGTACACATGTACATAAAGATGGGAACAACAGACACTGGGGTCTCCAGAAGGGGAGAGGGAGGGAGGGGAGCAAGGGTTGAAAAACCACTTTTCGGGTACTCTGCTCACTATTTGGGTGTCAGGATCAACAGAAGTGCAAACCTCAACACCCCGCAATATACCTGTGTAATAGACCTGCACATGTACCCGCTGAATCTAAAATTTGATAAAAGAAGCTGAGTGAGGTGGCTCATGCCTGTAATCACAGAACTTTGGGAGGCTGAGGCAGGTGGATCGCCTGAGGCCAGGAGTTCAAGACCAGCCTGGCCAACATGGAGAAACCCCATCTCTACTAAAAAAATTAATACATAAAAAAGAGAGAAGAAAAAAATTGTTTTTACTAAGAAAATAAATAAAGTGCGTGGTGCTGTAAATGTCTTCATGGCAGCTCCTGTGTCGGCCGCCTGATATCGTTACCCCATCGTTATCCCATGCCTGCTTCTCCTTTCCGCCTCCCAAGCTTCCCAGACGGTGCTCCAAACTGTCACCACACCAGAACGCCAGGCCTTCAGGGTGTTTTTGGAGCACAGCGTCTTCCCGAGTACCTCTGTATGTGTGTATTTCTACACTTTAGAATTAAAATAAATTGTATTTTAAGAAAATGTGGGGGTGCAGCAGGGATTGTCCTTCAAAGAGAGAAGTGAGAGCGACTGCAGGCAGGTAGAGGAAGGGCAGAAACTTTAGGGTAACTCCACGCGGGCCTCGTGGGTGAACATGGGGCAAAAACGGACCAGAAATCCGAGGGTTTCTGCCCACCAGGTTTCTGTTCTCTTCTTTCCACAGAAAACAAAGGACACAGGAGATAGACCCCAAATTTTTCAGTTCCACTTAGGCAAATCAGATCCGAATTAAGGCAGCAGCATCCGATCTGGCTTCTCCATATCTACCTCCTCCCCTGTTTGTGTCAGAACCACACCCCCCTGACCTGCTGCCCTGCTGGAACCTTTTTCAACCAGCGTCCCTGGGTTCAGGGATGGAGCAGGGATGGTGAGGATCAGCCCAAGACAGGCTGGCTGCTCTCCAGACTCCCCCAGACCCTCCCTCTGCCGTTGACCTCTTGCCATGAGATCAGTCTGGGCTCTGAGCACCCCACGAGGCTAGATGGGGAACTGGGCTCTGCTGACTCAGAGCCCCACGGGGCTGAGGAGATGCGTGACGGGCAGCCCCCTCCTTCCTCGCTGATATCATTTCCCCAGCTGCCATCCTTTCTCTGGAAACATCACAGTCATGATTCACTGAAGTGGGGCTATGAGTTTTAGACACCCTGAGGTCCTCACTGCAGCCGCACGGCTCTCACCTGTAAGAAGGGGGTGGGGTGAGTTGAGGACACGTCCTGCCTTCCTCTTTGCTGAGCCTGAGTTGTCTGTTCCAAAAGCGAGTGATCTCACCATGGCTTTCTTCCAATTCAAGTTCACCTTGGCTGAGCCCAGGGCATGGTGGAAGTCGGTGGGCAGCTTGGGAGGAGAGCGGGTCTTTCATGCGTCTGGGGTCCTCCTCTCCTGCCTCCTCCTCCAGAGGTGGACCTCGACCCAGGGAAAGGGGGTGTCGAGAAGGCTGGGATCATGGCCTCCTCAAAGGTGAGGGCTCTCTGGCCCTCATCCTGCCCACAAGCCCAGCCCTGCACAGCCCCAATTGCCAGTCACATCCCCAATTGCGAGTTCCTCTTTTATCCTCTCCAGAACCTGCACTAATTCTTCCTCTTTTGGGGGATTTTCTGTCTCTGTTTGGGGGATTTCCTTCTTGGCGTTCAACCCTCCATCTTCTCTCTCTGCAGTTTTCCTTGTCTTTCCCTTTCTCCAGGGCCCTCTCCCAGCCATGCTGCTTGGAAGCGTGTCCGAGGCTCTCACTCCAGGTGACAGCGCTGCCGCCTTCCTCGTGCCAGCCCCTCCTCTGCCCATGCCAGCCTGGCCTTCCCGCCGTCCTGGCGTGGCCCACTCCGGGATCTCTGATGGCCTCTGCGACCAGAGCCGGGGACCTCCTCCTCTCCTGCCTCAGTGGATGTTTGGCAGGCTGCGCCATGGTTCATGCCCCCGTCCGGCCTGCCCGTCTCTCTCCCGGCCTCCTCCTGCCTCTCTGTGGGGCCGCCTCAGTCTTCAGCATCTCCCGCTCCGAAGCCATCACTGCTGTTTCCGTGGCCTGCATGCTCCTCCCTCATCACACTCTCACCAGGACCTTGCCCAGCACTTCTGCTGATGGGCCCAGAATCCAAGGCTGTTCCTGAGGTCCAGACCCACACACCCAACTACGTCTGACCTCTGTCTCGGAGGCTCCACAGATGCCCTCTTCCCACCAGGACGGCAGTCACAGCACAGCAATGATCACAGCTGCCCGCCCAGGCTCCCACCCGCTCTCCCGAGCCCTCCACACGACTCAACTCTCCCAGCAACGACAAGGGGTGTGGACTTTCATGATCACTCCCATTTTGCAGATGAGGAAACTGAGGCACAGAGAGGTTGAAATAGTCCAAGCTCTTAAACACTACACTCTGTTTTCCTCAAAACTGAGATTGGTCTAACCCCCACACTTCCTCCTCCATCACCTCTGTCCTCCCTGCAGTGACCGATCAGCCTCCAGCCCATCCCCACACTCACCAGCCTACCCACCCCACAGACCCCCAACATCTCTCTCCTGACAAATCAGTCTCCAGCTGCTTCCCAAACAAACCATGCCCATAAAACCCACTTTCTAAAATGAAAATGTGAAGATCTCAGTCCTCATGAATTCCCTTCAGCGCTCCCCTCTACCCTCAGGACAAAAGCAATGTATCTTCACCGGGTGCGGTGGCTCACACCTGTGATCCCGACACTTTGGGAGGCTGAGGCAGGAGGCTTGATTGAGACCAGGAGTTTGAGACCAGCCTGGCCAACATGGGGAAACTCTGTCTCTACTAAAAAAATATATACATACACACACTCACACATATGTATGTATACACGCACGCGCATGCGTGCACACACCCACACACACACACACATATATATATATTCAGGTGCAGTGGTGCAATCCTATAGTCCTGGCTACTCGGGAGGCTGAGGCAGGAGGATCCCTTGGGCCCAGGAGTTCGAAGCAGCAGTGAACTATGATCACACCACTGCACTCCAGTCTAGGTGGCAGAGCAAGACCCTGTTTCTGAAATTTAAAAAAAAAAAAAAAAAAAAAATTGATGTACATTAGGGGGGCTTCCAGGGCCTGGGGCCTGCTTCTCCTTCCTTTCCTCCCAGTGACCCTGACCTTGTCTCTTACCACTTCCCACCTGACTGGTTCCCATTGCTGATTTCACACACAGACCCTCCTGTCCCCTGCCTCATCCATGTCTGGCTGCCCTGTCATCTCCCGACTTTGGCTGCTTTCAGTGCTCAGCTCAAGTGCCACCTCTTCCAGGAAGCCTTCTCAGAAAGCCACACCTTCTCAGCCTGGGTGAGGCACCCTGTGGGCTCTGCGCTTCCCCCTCACAGCGGGGGGAACTTGCTGTTTATAAATTTGCCTCTCCACTGACTCCCAGGGCTGGGGCTTTGTGGTTTGTATTTTCTTCCCCACCTAGAAGAGGGCTTGCGTCTCCAGGCTCAAATTAGGCATCTTGAATAAATGATGAATAAATGAGAGAACGAATGAATGAACAAATACTCGCTCTGTGCTCCTCTTAGGGACTCGGATGCCCCACTCCTTGGCCCAGACTTTCCAGGCCAGAGTGAAGGGCTCCCACCAGGGTTTCCTTTAGGGTCCTGAGGGGTTGGCATCTGCCCCACCCCCCTCCAGTCTGGTTGAAATGTCAAGGTCAAGGGGTGCCTTCTGGCAGTCAAGGGGGAGCCTGGGAGGGGCAGAGCAGGGATTTGCATCCACCCAGGCAAAGGGCATCAAGCCAAGTCATCTGATGAGAGACTGCAGTGGGGCGGGGGGTGTGTGGGCGGCCGGCCCGTCCTCGGATCAGCTGCGTTCTCTGCCCGCCCCCTCTGACTCATGCTGACAACTTTCTTCCTGCCCCTGGCCACCTCTCTGCCCACTTGCTTCCTCAGTACCCTGGTCCAGCTCTTCCTGCAGCGGCCCAAGAGCTCAGAGCTCCTCGTCTGACCTTCTAGTCATGACCAGGACCAGGGCAGCGCTCCTCCTGTTCACAGGTGAGCCTGGGCCCCAGTGAAGTAGGGTTGGGGACCCAGGCCCAAGGGGGCCAGGGCCCTGAACTGGGGGCTCAGGCTGGGGCCTTAGGATCTGGGTAGGAAGAGAGACTGAGTCAAGCATGAGGGGGAGGCTGGCACATAGGGTTTGAGATTTGGAGTTTGTGGAGGAGAGGATATTGATGAACCAATTTTGGGGGAGTTCCAGAGATGCTGGAAGAGACGCCAGTTGTCTCGACACTCCAGAGATTTTCAAAATAGATAGAACGTGCCAAACTTGTGCTCTGTGGACAGAATGCTCTGGTACCCAGGTTTTCCTGGAGTCTCTCTCATAGCACTTGAGGGGCACGTTGGGGAAAGATCCTTTTTAGAGCCTGGGTACTGCTCTGCAGAAACGGAGAACTGAAACTCGATAGCGGATGGTGGGCAAGCGGCCTCCCTGGACCCTGGGAAGGAGACCCAGGCACCCCGGGCATCAGGCTCAGAGGGGAGATTGGGGTGCTGGGGCAAGGGGTAGAGGGTGGCCAGGCAGGAGGAAGACCCTTCTCCAAAGCTCTCTTCCCACCTCTTTCCCAGCCTTAGCAACTTCTCTGGGTTTCAACTTGGACACAGAGGAGCTGACAGCCTTCCGTGTGGACAGCGCTGGGTTTGGAGACAGCGTGGTCCAGTATGCCAACTCCTGGTGAGGCCCAGGTGGCGCTGGCCTTCGGCTCCATCCATCCTCTCCCTGCTCAGGGCCACGTGCCCCTGGCCCTGCCCTGTTATTTGCAAACTCTCCTCTCTGTCTGGTGTAGCGACTGCCCTGGCTAATGAAGATTTGCCCTGAAAGCAGGCACAGCCTCACAGCTAACATTTACAGAGCAGTAAGTGCAGTGCCAGGCTCATCATAGGTGGACGCTGACTGAGTCCACACGACAACCTGTGAGTAGGAATCAGTCGTGCAACAAACACTTACTTGTTCTTTCTTTCTTTTTTTTCTATACATTTAAAAATATAGAGAGGCAGGGTCTCACTATGTTGCCTGCGTTGGTCTCAAACTCCTGGGCTCAAGCAATCCTCCCACCCCAGCCTCCCAAAGTGCTGGGATTCCAGGTGTGAGCCACCACACCCAGACTCAACAAATATTTATTGTCTCCATACGCCAGAGAATCCAACAGACAGAAATCCCTTCCACGTGGAATTTAAATGATGAAAATCCATCTTGCAGATGAGGAAGCTGAGGTTTAGAGAGGGAACGCAAACTCGCCGGAGCGGCAGCTGTGCCGCAGCGTCCATACTCTCACCTGAAGTGTCCTTTGGCTCCTCGCAGGGTGGTGGTTGGAGCCCCGCAAGAGAGAACAGCTGCCAACCAAACGGGCGGCCTCTACCAGTGCGGCTACAGCACCGGTGCCTGTGAGCCCATTGGCCTGCAGGGTGAGTCGCCGCCCCTCCTGGGACCCAGGGCAGGGCTACCAGGTTCCCCAGCTCCAGGGGCCCGTGGGACTCACGGGAGTTTCACTTCCAACTTTTGCTGTGTCTGAGACCCTCACCCTCAGACATGCTTCCTGGCCTCTTAAGGCCTCCCTGCTCATCACACCCCTGCAGCTCTGTCAAAACCCGACAGCTCCCTTCACCATCAGACCTTGTCTCCCAGGTGGAGGTGACCCCTGCCCAGCTCTTCCACAGCCTTCTCTGTACCCCCGAAAGTGACCATGCACATATCTGTCCCCGCAGTCCCCCCGGAGGCCGTGAACATGTCCCTGGGCCTGTCCCTGGCGGCTACCACCAGCCCCCCCCAGCTGCTGGTGAGTGGCCCTGGGGCACAGGAGGCCTCTGAGGGAGGGAGGAGCCGGGGCCACAGGGGCTGGGAGTCTCTTGTAGGGTGGAGGTGCCGGAATGCGAGGGTGGGAGGGAGCAGGAGCAGCCCCCCAGCAGCCTGCTGTGTCCCCAGGCCTGCGGCCCCACCGTGCACCACGGGTGTGGGAGGAACATGTACCTGACCGGACTCTGCTTCCTCCTGGCCCCCACCCAGCTCACCCGGAGGCTCCCGGCGTCCGGGCAGGGTGAGTGTCGGGACCACCAAGTCTTTGAGGAGCTCACGCACATCCAATTGGGGGTGCGGTGGGCTAGAGACAGTCTTGCCAGACTGGATCAGAAAGAAGGATCTGGAAAAAGAGTTACCACGTGTTGCAGTGGTTCCCAACGCTGCTGCCCGCACACCCTGCCTGTTCCTGGCACGCCGCCGGACCTTTCCTGTGACCTTAACCTCTCCAAGCATCTGTTTCTTCATCTGTTGGGTGGGGAGAATAACACACCCAGCACTGAAGTAACATAGGATGATTCATGGCCAGGGGCTAGCACAGCAGCTAGCACTAGGCGATGGCCCCATGAAGGCCAGCTGCTGTTATTTTTAGAGAAGAGGATCTATTTTCATCCAGTGGGTCCTGGGAAATGACCAATTGGTTTGTGCAGTAGTTTAGGAAAGGTCAGTGAAAGTGCAGTGTGAGCAACCTGTGTGTGTGTGTGCGCATGTGTGTATACATATGCATGTGTATACATGTGTGCATGCACACATGTACATGCATGTGTGCGCACGTGTGTGTGTGTGTGTGCGTGTGCACATGCAGGTTGAGACGCAGGGCCTGGCTTCCCTGGTGCTGATGGGGAAGAAAGACAAGGAAGCGGAACAGTGGGCTTTTCAGACCTGGCAGGCTGAGGCCACCCCTTGGTTTCACATTTGCTCTCAAGCCCTTGGTGAGACTGACATCTGGTTGCAAATAGGGTGCACCTTCCAGCACCTCCGTGGGTCCAGACTCCATCCACAGGGGCCTGGGCACTCATCAGAATGCCCAGGACACCTGTCTCTCTGGTGGAGGCCTCTGGGGCAGAGGGGATGCTGAGAGGTCACATGGAAGGGGGTCTCCTCTCCAGGTGCTGTAAGAGCGTCCTCTTCTCAGGACAGACGCTGCCTTCACACAGGAGGGGAGTGGGGGCCTGTATTTAAGCTGAGAACAGAACAGGTCCAGTGTGTGGCTGTTGCCTGTGATGATTTGTTTCAAATACTAACAATCAAGGCAGGAGGGTCGTTTGAGGCCTGGAGTTTGAGACCAGCCTGGGCAACATAGTGAGACTTCATCTCTACAAAAAAGAAATATAAAATACAAAGTAGCTGGGCATGGTGTTACATACATATAGTGCCAACTACTGGGGAGGCTGAGGCAGGAGAATCGCTTGAGCTCAGGAGTTGGAGGCTGTAGGGAGCTATGATCGCACCACTGCACTCCAGCCTCGGTGACAGTGAGATTCCGTCTCAATTAAAAAAAAAAAAATTAACAAAACTACCATTCAGCACTGAACAGTGAGGACAAACACTGGCCAGGAACTGGTGCCAGTTTGTATCATTGCTGGATGGAGTGACATTGAGGGAGGAAGGAGGAATGGGTCTAGGGAGGGGCACAGATATCCAGGGTGGAGGGGGAAGCCCTCTGCTTCCTACCATCCGAATTGGAGAAATCTTCCTGTTTTGTTTTTTTTTTCTTCTTTTTTTTTTCGAGAGTCTTACTCTGTCACTGAGGCTGGAGTGTAGTGGTACAATCACAGCTCACTGCAGCCTCCAACTCCTGGGCTCAAGTGATCCTCCCACCTCCGCCTTCAGAGTAGCTGGAACCACAGAGAAGAGCCACCAAGCCCAGCTGATTTTTAACAATGTTTAGTAGATGTGAGATCTCGCTATGTTGTCCAGGATGATCCTGAAATCCTGGGCTCAAGCAATTCTCCTGCCTAGGCCTCCCAAAGTGCTTGGATTACAGGTGTAAGCCACTGCACCCGGTCTGACCTTCACTTTTTTTTATCGATAGGGCTGGCTGCGTAGGGGTGAGCAGCTTCATCACAGACTTTTTTTTTTTTTTTTTTTTTTTTGAGGTGGAACCTCACTCTGTTGCCAGGCTGGAGTGCTGTGGCACGATCTTGGCTCACTGCAGCCTCCACCTCCCGGGTTCAAGCAATTCTGCCTCAGCCACCCATGTAGTTGGGACCACAGGTGCATGCCACCACACCCAGCTAATTTTTGTATTTTTAGTAGAGATGGGGTTTCACCATGTTGGCCAGGATGGTCTCGATCTCCTGACCTCATGATCCGCCCACCTCGGCCTCCCAAAGTACTGGGATTACAGGTGTCAGCCACTGCGCCCGGCATATCACAGCCTCTTTATGCAACTTTAAGAGAATGAAGGGCCTTGTTCCAGGCAGGGGGTTAGGGAAGTCCTGCCCCCGATGAGGAAAGGACCCAGGGTATGGAGTCTGACTCCCATCGCCAGACTAGGGGCTTAGGGGAGGAAGAGTTTTGGGAGAGTGAGCTCTTGTGGCCAAGAGGCCACAGTCCTGGGCTTTGGGAGTGTCTCTTGGAGGATCGGTGCCACCTCCTTCCCCAGAGTGCCCAAGACAGGAGCTGGACATTGTGTTCCTGATTGATGGCTCGGGCAGCATCTCCTCTGGCAACTTTGCCAAGATGATGAACTTCGTGAGAGCTGTGATAAACCAGTTCCAGAGACCCAGCACCCAGGTGTGCCTTTGGGGCAGGGAGGCTGCTGGGGGGGCAGGTGCTTGGATCCTGGTGAAATGGCCTCAGCCCCGGCCCTGTGTGCTTCTTCCAGTTTTCCCTGATGCAGTTCTCCAGTAAATTCGACATACACTTCACTTTCGAGGAATTCAGGCGCACCTCAAACCCCCTCGACCTGTTGGCTTCTGTTCACCAGCTGACAGGGTTCACACACACGGCCACTGCCATCCAAAAAGTCGTGTGAGTCCTGACTTCTTCCAGGCACAGTCCCAAAGCACCCAGGTCTTCCCTTGGGCCTCATCTGTCTCCACGAGAAGGGGACAGGCAGGGACTGAAATCCAGCCCGTGATACCCTTGCCAAGCTTGGGCCTCTGGGTGGGACTAGGACCTCCCGAAGGAAAAGGCATCTTCTCATTTTCACAAGGGCACCAGGGGCTAGTGTGGTTTTGTTCACAGGCCTCCAAGGTCTCTTCTTTCCTGATAGGCGCGAATTGTTCCAGGCCTCACGTGGGGCCCGTGGGGATGCCACCAAAATTCTCATTGTCATCACTGATGGGAGGAAAGAAGGCGACAGCCTGGATTATAAGGATGTCATCCCCATGGCTGATGCAGCAGGCATCACCCGCTATGCAATTGGGGTAGGGCATGGGACGGCTTCCCCCTTCTCCCAACGGCTTCCTCTCAGGGCAACTTCCCTTTCTATTTATTTTCTTTTCTCTTTGAGACAGGGTCTTGCTCTATCCCTCAGGCAGTGGTGCAATCCTAGCTCACTGCAGCCTCAAACTCCTGGGCTCCAGTGATCCTTCCACCCCAGCCTCCCCAGTAGCTGGGACCACTGGCGTGTGCCATCAAACCTGGCTATTTTTTTATTTTTTTTGGTTGAGATGGGGTCTTGCTATGTTGCCCAGGCTGGTCTCAAATTCCTGGCCTCAAGCAATTCTACCACCTTGGCTTCCCAAAGCTCAGGGATTACAGGCATGAACCACTGCCAACAACATGCCTTTCAAGGATAGAAACATCAGCTCTCTCGGCTCTTACTGCCTTCAGGATGAAAACTCTGCCCCAGACTGGAGACCATGATCCTTTCTCCTAAACTCCCTGATGCCGTCCGGGCCTCATGTTTCTCCTGTGTCCACGGGTGTGATCATGTTGATCTTGTGGGGTTATTGGAGGATGTTGCACCCAGTGCACACAGGAACATTCGATTTATTATTTTTACTGAGTTGATCTTTTTTGGAGACAGGTTGGATCAGCTTTTCAAAACAGAAACTCTTGGAAAGAATTAAATGACATTGCATCGAAGCCCTCCCAGGAACACATATTTAAAGTGGAGGACTTTGATGCTCTGAAAGATATTCAAAACCAGCTGAAGGAGAAGATCTTTGCCATTGAAGGTGAGTCTGAAGGGAGCTCTTAGCTTGGGGACTCCTCAGTCGTAACACCTTTCCACTTAGAACTCAAGGCTCCGTGAAACAGGTAGACAGCAGCCCAGTTCTCCTGCTTTCCCGGGACCCCGATAGCCACGTCTGTCAGCTTGTCCCCATTGATGTCCCCGAGCACTGCCAGAGCCGCCCCAAAGTGGCCCCAGGGATGGCCCTGCCCCCCACAGAAAATGATCTCACACCACCACCGGCTCCACTGCAGGCCCAGCCCAGGAGACCCTTCCACCCACACTGAGACCTACCCAACCCATGTCCCACCAGCCACTCACTCCCCTGGGCAAGGGGCACGCGGACTCCTGGCCCCCTCGGGTCTGCTCGTAGACCCGTGGGGGGCCCTGATGAGGACCAGATCTGTGCTGCCATCGCTGTTCACATCCTTGGAGCAGAGGGGGGGCCCTGAAGTTGGAGCTGATCTGGAGGGCAGAGCCTGTTCCCTGTCATAGGCATCAGCCCTCCCTGGGCCTCCAGTCTTAGCTTCTCCTAAAGCTGAAGTGTTCTTGGACCTGGCAAAGCCTGTCTCCCTCCCTGGCACTCGAGTGTCACACCTTCCCCCAGGTACGGAGACCACAAGCAGCAGCTCCTTAGAATTGGAGATGGCGCAGGAGGGCTTCAGCGCTGTGTTCACGCCTGTGAGTGGAGCCCCTTAGGCCGATGATGTGCGGTGAGGGGAGGCGGGAGCACGGAAGGCCAGGGCGGGTGTCAGGTGGGTAAGGGGCGCGGGCGGCAGGCGTGTCTCTTGTACACGCTGTCTTCCTGCTCCGGCCTCTGCCCAGCCCTGGAATTCTTTCCTCCCAGGATGGCCCCATTCTGGGGGCTGTGGGGAGCTTCACCTGGTCTGGAGGTGCCTTCCTGTACCCCCCAAATATGAACCCCACCTTCATCAACATGTCTCAGGAGAATGTGGACATGAGGGATTCTTACCTGGGTGAGAAACAACCAGGGGTTGGGGACAGGTGGGAGATGAGCTGCCTGGGGTGGGGTCCAGGGTTCTGAGGAGGGGAGATGGGGGCTGCGCTGCCTGGGGTGGGGTCCAGGGTTCTGAGGAGGGGAGATGGGGGCTGCGCTGCCTGGGGTGGGGTCCAGGGTTCTGAGGAGGGGAGATGGGGGCTGCGCTGCCTGGGGTGGGGTCCAGGGTTCTGAGGAGGGGAGATGGGGGCTGCGCTGCCTGGGGTGGGGTCCAGGGTTCTGAGGAGGGGAGATGGGGGCTGCGCTGCCTGGGGTGGGGTCCAGGGTTCTGAGGAGGGGAGATGGGGGCTGCGCTGCCTGGGTTGGGGTCCAGGGTTCTGGGGAGGGGAGAAGGGGGCTGCGCTGCCTGAGGTGGGGGTCCAGGGTTCTGGGTGGGGGGAATGGGGGCCTTTGTGCTGAGACCTGGGCCCCTCAGGTTATTCCACCGAGCTGGCTCTCTGGAAAGGGGTGCAGAACCTGGTCCTGGGGGCCCCCCGCTACCAGCACACCGGGAAGGCTGCCATCTTCACCCAGGTGTCCGGGCAATGGAGGCTGAAGGCCGAAGTCACGGGGACGCAGGTTGGGCGTGACAGGAGCCAGAGGGGAAGATGAGGGTGGGGGCAGTGGCCGGGGCCTGGGAGAGGATGGAGGGGCTTTGGGGGGCTTGGGGGAGGTCCTGGTACCTGAGGAGAGGTGGGACCTGCCCACAGGGCTGCCTCTGGCGGGGACAGACAGCATGACCCAGGCTCTGCCCTCCAGATTGGTTCCTACTTCGGGGCCTCCCTCTGCTCTGTGGATGTGGACGGCGATGGCAGCACTGACCTGATCCTCATCGGGGCCCCCCATTACTACGAGCAGACCCGAGGGGGCCAGGTGTCCGTGTGTCCCTTGCCCAGGGGGGTGAGTGGCCGATGGGACCTGGGCTGGGTGGGGTCCGGTGTGGGTGGAGGGGTTGCCTGGGTTGGGCCTGGCACTGCTTTCATTTTGCAGTGGAGAAGGTGGTGGTGTGATGCTGTTCTCCACGGGGAGCAGGGCCACCCCTGGGGTCGCTTTGGGGCGGCTCTGACAGTGCTGGGGGATGTGAATGGGGACAAGCTGACGGACGTGGTCATCGGGGCCCCAGGAGAGGAAGAGAACCAGGGTGCTGTCTACCTGTTTCATGGAGCCTTGGGACTTAGCATCGGCCCCTCCCACAGCCAGGTGAGGCCGTGTCCCGCTTCTGTCATTAGAGCAGCCTCCTCCTTGCCTCTCCCGCTCTGTCATACAGGAAAACTGTCCCTTTTTACCTTTTCCTACCTCCCTTGCCCAGCTCTGAGCACCTTGTAGCAGTAGTACAGTCTCAGCTCACTGCAACCTCCGCCTCCCAGGTTCAAGTGATTCTCTGCCTCAGCCTCCGGAGTAGCTGGAATTATAGGCATGCACCACCATGTCCGGTGAATTTTTTGTATTTTAGTAGAGATAGGCTTTTGTCATGTTGGCTAGGCTGGTCTTGAACTCCTGACCTCAGGTGATCCACCTGTCTCAGCCTCCCAAAGTGCTGGGATTATAGGCGTGAGCCACCACGCCCAGCCCCTTGCCAGTTTTACAAGGCACACAGGTGAGGCACAGAAAACCCATTTTACAGATGGAATGTGGGACACTGGGAAGACAAGAGCCTTGGTTTGCCAGAGGTTCAGAGTGGGTCCGGGATGGTGAAGGGTGCTCCGGCCTCTTGACCTCTAACCCGGCGTGCAGTCTCCGGGCTCCTTGCTGCTCACCACTTAGGTCCAGTCATTTCAACCTACGCTTCCACTCGCTCCTCGCCTCCCTGGATGCTACATGATTTTATTCCCTTCCTGCCATCAAGGTCCCACCATATACCCATCCCTGCAGCCGCCCTCCACCCAAGGGAGCAGGGTTCCCTGAGAACAAGGGCTGCTTTCCTTGGCAAAAGTCAAGAAAGCCCTGTTAAAAAATAGGCAAAGGGGCTGCTCCAGGTGGCTCACATCTGTAATTCCAACACTTTGGGAGGCTGAGGCAGGAGGATCACTTGAGGCCAGGAGTTTCAGGCCAGCCTGGGCAACATAGGGAGATCTCATCTCTAGAAAATATTTTAAAAATTAGGCAGGCATCGTGGTGCTGTAGTAACTGTAGTCCCAATTACTCGGGAGGCTGAGGTGGGATGATCACTTGAGCCCAGGAGGTTGAGGCTGCAGTGAGCTATGATTGTGTCACTTCACTTTAGCCCAGGTGAAAGAGCAAAACCCTGTGTCAAAAAAAAAAAAAAAAAAGATTTGAATAGGAATAGATATTTCTCCAAAGAAGAGGTACAAGGGGCCAATGAGTGCATAAAATGATTCTCAACATCATTGGTCATCAGAAATCAAAACTATAATGAAATGCCACTTCTCACCTACTAGAATGACTAGAAACAAAGACGGATAATGACAGGTGTTGGTGAGGATTGGGAGAACCGAACATCCTCCGGCACTGCTAGGGATGATGTAAATCCACGCAGCTGCTTTGGAAATCAGTCTAGCAGATCCTCAAAACATTAAACATAGGCTGGGCACAGTGGCTCACACCTGTAATCCCAGCACTTTGGGAGGCCGAGGCAGGTGGATCGCCTGAGGCCAGGAGTTCAAGACCAGCCTGGCCAACACAGTGAAACCCCATCTCTATTAAAAATACAAAAAAAAAAAAATTACCTGGGCATGGTGGTGGGTGCCTGTAATCCCAGCTACTCGGAAGGCTGAGACAGGAGACTTGATTGAAGCTGGGAGGTGGAGGTTGTGGTGAGCCAAGATTGCGGCATTGCACTCCAGCCTGGGCAACAAGAACAAAACTCCGTCTCAAACAAACAAACAAACAAAAAGTTAAACGTAGAGTTGCCATGTGATCTGGCAATTCCACCTATAAAACATGCTAAGTGAGGGAAGCCAGACACAGAAGGCCACATGTATTCAGGCCAAATGTCCAGAACAGGCAAATCTGTAGAAACAGAAAGTAGATGAGCAGTTTCACAGGGCTGGGTGTGGGGGGAAGTCAGGGGCATGAGGGTGACTGCGAATGGGTATGGAGTCTCTTTTTGGGGTAGTGGAAATGTTCTAAAATTGATTGTGGTAGTGGTTTCACAACTCTGTAAACATACCAAAAACCACTAAGTCATGTACTTTAAAGGGGTGAGTTTTGTGCTATGTGGTCTATAGCTCAAAAAAGTTGTTACCAAAAAGAAAAAAGTGGCAGGGAAGGTCCCTGCAGTTCTGTCACACACCAGCTGTGTGATCTTTGACAGGAGATCACACACTGTCTTTGTGCTCAGTTTTCTCGTTGGTAAAATGGTGATACTAATAGAACTAACCTTACTGGGCTGCTGCTGTGAGGATTAAATGAGTTAGTATGCATGAAGTGCTTATCACAGTGCCTGGCACACAATAGGTGTCATGTTCTTATAATCTGTTTTAATTATCATTAAGATAGTTTAACAACTGGCCAGGCGCAGTGGCTCCCACCTGTAATCCCAGCACTTTGGGAGGTCGAGGCAGGCAGATCACTTGAGGTCAGGAGTTCCAGACCAGCCTGGCCAATGTGGGGAAACCCCGTCCCTACCAAAAATACAAAAAGTAGCTGTGCGTGGTGGCGCATGCCTGTAATCCCAGCTACTCGGGAGGCTGAGGCAAGAAAATGGCTCGAACCCAGGAGTCGGAGGTTGCAGTAAGCTGAGATTACGCCACTGCACTCCAGGCTGGGTGCCAGAGTGAGGCTCCATCTCAAAACAAATAAACAAAAAAGACATAGTTTAACAACTGAAGGGGAATCTAAAGAAGAGGGTGAAAGACGGTTGAGAATCACAAGGGCCCACATGTTGTCATGAAACCACGAACAGTTCGTACCAACTCCCATGACCCATCACACACAGGCATACCTTGTTTTATGCGCTTTGCAGATACTGCATTCTTTACACGTTGAAGGTGTGCAGCGACCCTGCGCTGAGCAAGTCTATCGGTGCTGTTTTCCCAGCTGCACGCACTCACTTTGTGTCTCTGTTACGTCTGGTAATTCTCACGATGTCTCAAACTTTTTGAAATGATCATGTCCGTGATGGTGAGCTGTGATCAGTGATCTTCGATGTTACTATTGTCCTTGTTTTGGGGCACCATGAACCATGTCCATATACGAAGGCAAACTTCATGAATGTGTGTGTTCTGACTGCTCCACCACAGATAGCTCCCTTGTCTCTCTCTCCCTCTCCTCTGGCCTCCCTATTCCCATTCCCTGCAGTGCAACAATATTGAAATTAAGCCAAATAATAACTCGACAATGGTCTTTAAGTGTTCAAGTGAAAGGAAGAGTCACATGTCTCTCACTATTTATTTACTGAGGCAGGGTCTCGCTCTGTCACCCAGGCTGGAGTACACTGGTGTGATCTCGGCTCACTGAAACTTCCCCCTCTGGGGTTCAAGTGATTCTCCTGCCTCAGCCTCTTGAGTAGCTGGCATTACAGGTGCGTGCCACCCTGCCTGGCTAATTTTTGTATTTTTAGTAGAGATGGGGTTTCGCCATGTTGGCCTGGCTAGTCTCAAACTCCTGAGTTTAAGTGATCTGCCTGCCTTGCCCTCCCAAAGCACTGGGATCACAGACGTGAGCCACCATGTCTGGCCACATATTTCACATGTTAGATCAAAACCTAGAAATGATTAAGCTTGGTGAAGAAGCCATGTCAAAAGCCAAGACGGACTGAAGGCCTTTTGCACCAAACAGCCAAATTCTGAATGCAAAACAAAAGTTATTGAAGGAAATTAAGAGTGCTACTCCAGTGAACATAGGAATGATAAGAAAGTGAAACAGCCTAATTGCTATTACGAAAGAAGTTTTGAGTGCTCTGGATAGAAGATCAAACCAGCCACAATACTCCCTTAAGCCAAAGCCAAATCCGGAGCAAGGTCCAAATGCTCTTCAGTTCTATGAAGGCTGAGAGAGGTGAGGAAGCTACAGAAGAAAAGCTGGAAGTCAGCAGAGGTGGAAGTCAGCAGGGTTCATGAGGTTTAAGGAAAGAAGCAATCTCCATAACATAAAAGTACGAGGTGAAGCAGCAAGTACAGATGGAGAAGGTGCAACAAGTTCTCCAGAAGATCTCTGATGAAGGTGGCTACACTCAACAACAGGTTTTCAATGTAGATGAGACGACCTTTGATGGAAGAAGATGCCATCTAGAACTTTCAGAGAAGTCAATGTCTGGCTTCAAAGCTTCAAAGGACAGGCTGACTCTTGTTAGAGGCTAATGCCACTGGTAGGACTTCAAGTTGTAGTCAGTGCTCATTTACCATTTGGAAAATTCCAGGGCCCCAAAGAATGATGCCAAATCCACCCTTCTGTGCTCTAGAAATGGAGCAAAGCCAGGGAGACAGCACATCTGTTTACAGCATGGTTGAGTAAGTGTTTTAAACCCATTCTGGAGACCTGCTGCTCAGAAAAATAGATTTCTTTCCAAAGTTTGCTACTTATTGACAATACACCTGGTCACCCAAGAGCTCTGATGGAGATGTTCATGGAGATTAGTGTTGTTTCCATGCCTGCAAACCCAACATCCATTCTGCAGTCCATGGACCAAGGAGTAATTTTGACTTTCAAGTCTCATTATTTCAGAAATACATTTCATAAGGCTATAGCTGCCATACATAGTGATTCTTCTGACGGATCTGGGCAAAGTCAATTGAAAACCTTCTGGAAAAAATTCACCACTTTAGATGCCATTAAGAACATTCATGATTCACGAGAGGGGGTCAAAATATCAACATTAACAAGAGTTTGGGAGAAGCTGATTCCGATTCTCGTGGATGACTTTGAGTGGTTCTAGACTTCAGGGGAGGAAGTGACTGCAGATGTGGTGGAAATAGAGAACCAGAATTAGAAGATGGAGCCTAAATTGCTGCAGTTTCATGATGAAACTTGCACAGATGAGGACCTGCTTCTTACGGATGAGGAAATAAAGTGGTTTTTTTTTTTTTTCACATGGAATCTATTCCTGGTGAAGATGCTATGAAAATTGTTGAAATGACAACACAAGATTAAGAATATTACATAAACAGGCCGGGCACAGTGGCTCACCTCTGTAATCCGAGCACTTTGGGAAGCAGAGGTGGGCAGATCACCTGAGGTCGGGAATTTGAGACCAGCCTGGCCAACATAGGGAAACCTCATCTCTACTAAAAAAATTAGCTGGGTGTGGTGGCGGTTGTCTGTAATCCCAGCTACTCAGGAGGCTGAGGCAGGAGAATCACTTGAACCTGGGAGGCGAAGGTTGCAGTGAGCCGAGATCACGCCACTGCACTCCAGCAACAGAGTGAAAGTGTGTCTCAAAAAAAAAAAAAAAAAAAAAAAAAGAATATTATATAAACGTAGTCAATAAATGAGCACAGAATTTGAGAGGATTGACTCCAACTTTCAAAGAAGCTCTACTGTGGGTAAAATGTTATCAACCAGCAACCCATGCTCCAGAGAAATTTCATGAAAGGAAGAGTCCATCCGGGCAGCAAACTTCCTCACTCTCTTATTTTAGGAAATTGCCATAACCTCCCCAACCTCCAGGAGTTGCCACTGTGATCAGTCAACCGTGTCACCGTGTCACCATCAGCAAGACCCTCCATAGGCAAAAAGATTATGCCTTGCTAAAGGCTTAAATGATCGTTAGCATTTTTTACCAATCTAATTTTTTTATTTTTATTTTTGAACTTTTATTTTAGATTTAGAGGGGGTACACCTACCCTTTCTAGACTCCCTCAGTAACTGGTAAATTTCTCTTTTTATTTTGTTATTATTCTTTTTTCTTTTCTTTTTCTTTTTTAAGTTTTTATTTTTTAGAGACAGAGTCTCATCGTGTCCCTCAGGCTGGAGTGCAGTGGCGCAATCACAGCTGACTGCAGCCTCGAACTCCTGGGCTCAAGAGATCCTCCTGCCAAAGCCTCCTGAGTAGCTGGGACCACAGGCACAAGCCAGTGTGCCGGGCTCATTATTATTACTTTTTTTTTTTTTTCGAGACAGAGTCTTGCTCTGTCACCAAGGCTGGAGTGCAGTGGTGCCATCTCCACTCACTGCAACCTCCTCCTCCCGGGTTCAAGTGATTCTCCTGCCTCAGCCTCCTGAGAAGCTTGGATTGCAGGTGTGTGCCATCATGTCTGGCTAATTTTTGTATATTTAGTAGAAACGGGGTATCATCATGCTGGCCAGGCTGGTCTGGAACTCCTGACCTCAGGTGATCCACCCGCCTCGGCCTCCCAGTGTTGGGATTACAGGCGTGAGCCACCGCGTCCACCCATTATTATTACTTTTAATGCCTGCCAGTTCCATTGGTGCACAGAGATTTAAAGGGCAGATTCTTCCAGGGAGCGGGCATAACATGAGCACTGGGAATGAAGGTGATAGGTTCTACAGGGGAGGCAGTGCCCGGGAGGGTGGATCTGCGTGTGGCTGCGACCACTCCCTACTCCACCCCAGCTTTTTCTGTCCTTTGAAGAGACAGAGTGACAGCAAGAAACAAAAAGGGGACTTGGGCCTGGGGTCGGAGCGTCTGGTGTTAGGTCTGGAGTCGGCCTCTTAAAGGCTACATGGAGTTGGCCGGTCCCCAACCTCTCTCCTGCATCTTTGCAACCAGGGAGGTGAGGCTGGATGAGCTCCAAGGTCCCTTTCAGCCTTAATACTCATTGTGATACATTATTGACTGCAGGCCGTATTCTGGGTGCTGTTCTAAGAACTGTAGGAATTCCTCTCCTGCGCACGGCTAAACTCTGAGCTAATAGTATCATTATGTGAAAGATGAGGAAACAGAGGCACATAAAGATTGAGTCCTTGCCCACAGCCTCATGGCTCATAGGTGGAGGAGTCAGAATTGGAACTAGAGACTGATTGAATGAATGACACTTGGGTCACCAGGACACCCTTCCGATCTCCACTCCTACATCTGTTTCTTAGCAATCATCTCCCAACTCCTACCTCCTCTTTTCAGGTTCTTCTTGGTGACATCTGTTCACAGCTCACCCCTTCTCTCCCTTTCCCACGGTCCTACCTCCATATTCCCCTTGTTACTTATTTCCAACTTCTTCCCCCACCTTCCAGCTTGATTCACCCTTTTCTCTTCTGGCCAGCGGATCGCCGGCTCCCAGCTCTCCCCCAGGCTGCAGTATTTTGGGCAGGCACTCAGCGGGGGTCAAGACCTCACCCAGGATGGACTGGTGGACCTAGCTGTGGGGGCCCGGGGCCAGGCGCTCCTGCTCAGGTGAGAGCAGCCTTTCTCGGACGCTCCCCGGGTGGTCCTAGGTCCAGATGGGGGTGCCCACCCCCACCCCACCCCACATGGTGCTCCCAGGAGCCAAGGGCCTGTCCTCAGCTCGGTGCTCTGCCCGCAGGACGAGACCTGTGCTCTGGGTGCAGGTGAGCATTCAGTTCAAACCTGCCGAGATCCCCAGGTCTGCATTTGAGTGTCGCGAGCAGATGGTCTCTGACCAGATCCTGGGACAGTCCAGCATCTGCCTTTACATTGACAAACGTTCCAAGAACCTGCTTGGGAGCCGTGAGTCCCTCCCCTCCAACCCAGGACACCCTGACTTCTGGGGTCCCCCAGCCCCAGACGCCTTTCTCCCACCCTGCCCGTTGTCCACCCAAGGAGTTCCTGTCTCTCTCAACGCCGTTTCTGTGACCGCCTACAGATGACCTCCAAAGCTCTCTGACCGTGGACCTGGCTCTCGACCCTGGCCGCCTGAGTCCCCGTGCCACCTTCCAGGAAACAAAGAACCGGAGTCTGAGCCGAGTCCAAGTCCTCGGGCTGGAGACATACTGTGAAACCTTCACCCTGCTGCTCCCGGTGCGTCTGGGCACGAACATGGGTGGCGGCCGCGCTGGGGCTGGCAGAAGGCAGGGCAGGGAGAGAACAGGCTGCGTTCCAGCCTCCCTGTGGCTCAGCCCAGCGCAGGACCAGGCATGAAGGAGGTGCTTACTTACTGCATAGCCAGTGAGTGAGTGAGCGAGCGAACAAGTGATGAGATCGGCTGCAACTGCCAGGGGCCACACGGTTGGATTTCAGGAAAGAGAATCCGGCAGCCTGAGAGAGCTCTGCGGCTTCCGGCTGGGCTTTTTTTCAGGCACTCACTGGACACGCATTTATCGAGCTGCTCCTGGGAGATAGGCCCTGCCCTGGGGGCCAGGCGCATAGCGGTGGCCAAAACAGTCATTGCTGATCGGGAGGTCTGTGGGGAGGAGAAAAAAAAAACAAAGACAAAGCAGGGGAGAGAACAGAGAGGGTGTCAGGGAGGCCTCCTGAAGGCGGTGATGCTAAGCAGGCCCTGAAGGAAGCGGAAGCCGCGTGGGAGCTGGGCAGGGGCAGGGACAGGATGAGAACTGCGGGTGGGGCCGAGCGCAGCTCTGCACAGCGCTCCCCTCACCCTCCGCTCTTCCCCACGCCCATCCCCCAGACCTGCGTGGAGGACTCTGTGACCCCCATCACCTTGCGTCTGAACTTCACGCTGGTGGGCGAGCCCCTCCCTGCCTTCAGAAACCTGCGGCCTATGCTGGCCGCCGATGCTCAGAGATACTTCATGGCCTCCGTGAGTCCTGGCGCTGGGGTCTCCCAGAGAGGGCGCACAGCGTGGGGCCTGGATCTCGGAGAAAACCCCCCCCCCCGTTGCCTTCCCACGCAGCTCCCCTTTGAGAAGAACTGTGGAGCCGACCATATCTGCCAGGACGATCTCGGCATCTCCTTCAGCTTCCCAGGGTGAGCGCCCCCACCTTAGACCTGCCCTACTGCCCCAGCCTCCTTCCTGGAATCTGGAACTCCTGTCTCTGGCTATCCCTAACATTGTCTCATCCTATACTCAAAACCCAGGTGTCCTGGCTGGGCACAGTGGTTCACGCCTATAATCCCAGCACTTTGGGAGGCCAAGGCGGGAAGATCTTTTGAGGCCAGGAGTTAGGGATCAGCCTGGGCAACAGAGTGAGATCCCATTTCTACAAAAACAAAACAAAACAACAGCAACAACAAAAGATCAGCTGAGTAGAGCATGTCTATAGTCCCAGTTACTTAGGAGGCTGAAGCTTAAGGATTGTTTGAACTCTGGAGTTGGAGGTTATAGTGAGCCATGATCACACCACTGCACTCTAGCCTGGGTGAAAGATCAGGACTGCGTCTCTTAAAAAAAAAAAAAAAGAGAAGAAGAAGAACCCAGGTGTCCTGTCCCCTGTCTATCTCCCACATCCCCACTCACCCCATTTTATCCCAGACCATTTCTAGCCTCAGTCACAGAATTATCTTCTCCTTACCCACCCCTGATACCCAGCCTGAAGACCCTGCTGGTGGGGAGTAACCTGGAGTTGAACACAGAAGTGATGGTGTGGAATGACGGGGAAGACTCCTACAGAACCACCATCACCTTCTCCCACCCGGCAGGACTGTCCTACCGCCACGTGGCAGAGGGCCAGGTGCTCCCTCTGGGAAAGGAGGAGGAGGTTGGGCTGGGCACTAGTGTAGATTCCTGTGCAGTTCAGAGCCTGGGCTGGGCTTGGAGGTGGTAGTGCCATCTGGGGCACGCCTCCACTCGTGCGGTGTTCAACTTTGGGCATCGCAGTTTAAGGACACTGACTATCAGGAATGATTTCCTGAGAGGCCACTAATGTGGAGACAGAGGGGACCCTGCCCAAATGTCTTTCTGTTCCTTGTTATATCAATACTACTCTTTTGAAGGAAAACATATCTCAGCCTTCAAATATTTTAAAACACTGTTCTGTAGAAGCAAGGGGTTGAATTTATTGGTCGCTGTACATTAAGGCTTGGCAACCTTTTTCTATAAAGGGTTAGATAGTAAATATTTCAACTTTGTGGTCCACGTGGTCTGTGTCACAGCTGCTAACCTCTGCTGTTGTGGAATGAAAGCAGCCATTGACATGAATGAGTTTATGAATGAAAATACCTGCGATGCAGTAAAACTTTATGTATAAAAATAAGTAGTGGCTGTTGTTTGCCAATCTCTGTTTTAGAATGGAGAACTGGGACCACAGGGAGTCAAAGAGAACCAGATTTTTTAAACAAAAATATTATGGCCAGGGCGGTGGCTCACGCTGGTAATCCCAGGACTTTGGGAGGCTGAGGCAGGCAGATCACCTGAGGTCAGGAGTTTGACCAGCCTGGCCAACATGGTGAAACTCCATCTCCACGAAAAATACAAAAATTAGCCGGGCGTGGTGGCGGGCGCCTGTAATCCCAGCTACTGGGGAGGCCCAGGCGGGAGAATTGCTTGAACCCGGGAGGTGGAGGTTGTAGTGAGCCGAGATTGTGCCACTGCACTCCAGCCTGGGCGACAAAGCAAGACTCTGTCTCAAAAAAAAAAAAAAAAAAAAAAAAAAGAAAAGAAAAATGTTATTATGAATAATTTAAAACATTTACAAAAGTAGAAAGTAGTTCAACAAACCTCCCCAAAACTTGTCACCTAGATTCAACAATTAGCAACATTTTGCCACATTTGTTTCATCAATTGTTCCCCTTTGCTAAGGTATTTTCTTTCTTTCTTTCCTTCCTTCCTTCCTTCCTTCCTTCCTTCCTTCCTTCCTTCCTTCCTTCCTTCCTTCCTTCCTTCCTTCCTTCCTTCCTTCCTTCTTTCTTTTTGAGATAGGGTCTTGCTCTGTCACACAGGCTGGAGTGCAGTGGCACAATTTCAGCTCACTGTAGCCTCAACGTCCTGGGCTCAAGCAAAAATCCCATCTCAGCCTCCTGAGTAGCTACAACCACATGCACACACACCATACCTGGCTAATTTTTTAATTTTTTGTAGAGTTGGGATCTTACCATGCTGTCCAAGCTGGTCTCTTTAACTCCTGGGTTCAAGCAATCCTCCCATCTCAGCCTCCCAAAGTGTTGGAGTTACAGACATGAGCCACTGTGCCTGACAGGCTAAAGTATTTTAAAACAAATCTCAGACATGGGGGTCATTGTACTCCTCCTTATTCACTCTGCTATGGTTTGAATGCATCACCCAAAGTTCACGTGTTAGACACTTAATTCCCAATACGACAGTGTTGAAAGGTGAAACCTTTAAAAGGTGATTAGGTTATGAGGGCTTTGCCCTCATGAATGGATGAGTACTATTATCTCCAGAGTAGATTAGTCATTTCAGGAGTGGGTTGGCCTTTCTTTCTTTCTTTCTTTCTTTCTTTCTTTCTTTCTTTCTTTCTTTCTTTCTTTCTTTCTTTTTCTTTCTTTCTTCTTTCTTTTTTTGATGGGGTCTTGCTCTGTTGTCCAGGCTGGGGTGCAATGGCATGATCTTGGCTCACTGCAGCCTCTGCCTCCCGAGTTCAAGCAATTCTTGTGTCTCAGCCTCCCGAGTAGCTGGGATTACAGGTGCCCACCCCCATACCCAGCTAAGTTTTGCATTTTTACTAGGGATGGGGTTTCACCATGTTGGGCAGTCTGGTCTTGAACTCCTGACCTCAAGTGATCCACGTGTCTTGGCCTCCCAAAGTACTAGGATTACAGGCATGAGCCATGGAGCCTGGCTCAGGAGTGGGTTTCTAATTAAAGGATAAGTTTGGCCCCCTTTCCCTCTCACTCTCACATGCACTGTCTTGCTCTTCTGCCTTCTGCTGTGAGATGATGCAACACAAAGACCCTCACCAGATACTGGTGCCATGTTCTTGGACTTCCCAGCCTCCAGAACCACAAAGCTTCTATTGATACACTAACTAGTTTGTGGTAATCTGTTACAGCAGCAGGGAACAAAGACACACTCTATAGTTCTGAACAATGAGGACATCTTATATGACCTCAACACCATTATCACACCCAGTGAAATAAGTGATTCCTTGGTATTAAGATCATAGTCAAAATTCTGTAATTGTCTCAAAAATATCTTTTTACTTCTGGTCTATTTGAACCAAAATTCAACCTAGGTCCACATATGATGTTTGGTTGTTATTTCTGCTGTCTCTCTTAGTCTAATATTCCTAACGGAAGTGCATTTTGATTAATGTATAAAAGAACGCACCAGGAAGGGCCATCTCTTGCATGTGAGGGGTGATCCCTGTCAATGAAAGTGCTCCTAGACATATCAACCAAATGTAATGTGTGGACCTTTGTTGAATATTGCTTTTAACAAATGAGCTGTAAAATAACATTTTTGGAGACAATCTAAGAAAATAGAACATAACCAATATTGGTATATTAAGGAGTAATTGTTAATTTTGTTGGCATTTGGTGATTTGTTGGATCTTGTGGTTATGTTTAAAATACCCTTATCTGTTGGTGGTATACACTGAAGTATTTCCAGATGAAACAATATGATGTTCGGAATGTGCTTTAAAGTGTTCAGAAAGAGAACATACTAGAAACAAGAGTAGAAAAATGTTGGTTACTTAAAATTAGTGATGCCTGTATGGTAATTGATTTTCCAGTCTCTCTATTTTTGAATGTGTTTCAAAATTTCCATAATAAGAGGCCTTTAAAATAACAATAAAAAGGTGAACATTTTAATACAGTTGAGATTTCTACTTTGGAAGAAAGTTTGACCAGATAGCTATGGGGGAGCTTTTAAAAACATAACCTTGGGTGGACATGGTGGCTCATACCTGTAATCCTAGTGTTTTGGGGGCCAAGGTGGGAGAATGGCTTGAGGCCAGGAGTTCAAGACCAGCCTCGGCAACGTAGTGAGATCCCATCTATAAAAAAAATGTTAAAAAAAATTACCCAGGCATGGTGGTGTGTGCCTGTACTCAGCTACTCAGGAGGCTGAGGCGAGAGGATGGATTGAGGTCAGGAGTTTGAGGCTGCAGTGAGCTGTGATTGCATCACTGCTCTCTAGCCTAGGTGACACAGTGAGACCTGGTCTCAAAAAACAAACAAACAAAAAAAAACATAAGCTTAAGGCGGGCTCCAGGAAGCTTCATCACTACTTCATGGCGTGTCTTTGGAATGTTGTTATATTAGGTTGGTGCAAAAGTAATTGTGGTTTTTGCCATTGCTTTCAGTTTCAACTAATATTCGCCTACTTTTTCTCATGCCTAGAAACAGGGGCAGCTGCGTTCCCTGCGCCTGACATGTGACAGCGCCCCAGCTGGAAGCCAGGGCACCTGGACTACCAGCTGCAGAATCAACCACCTCATCTTCCGTGGTGGCTCCCAGGTCAGCCTGGCTTCTGTCCCCTTGCCGCTCCCCTGCCCCACCCTGTCTTTACTGCTCTGTGACCTCTCAGTTCCTTTTCCTCAGATCACCTTCTTGGCTACCTTTGACGTCTCCCCCAAGGCTGTCCTGGGAGACCGGCTGCTTCTGACAGCCAATGTGAGCAGGTGAGCCTGGCCAGGCCAGGGGCAGTGCCCCTCATCTCCAGCCTCACACCCCATTCTCCTCCTCTGGGGCCTTTGGCAACTGGGTCTCTCCTCTTTCTCCAGTGAGAACAACACCCCCAGGACGAACAAGACCACCTTCCAGCTGGCGCTCCCGCTGAAGTATGCCGTCTACACTGTGGCTAGCAGGTCAGCAGGTACCCCACCGCAGGAAAAAGGGTTCTTCTCTCTGACCCGGATGGGGGTGATTCTTGCCCCCTGCAGCAGCTGAACATGAGATGTGGTAGGTTTTGTGTGGTGGATAAAACTGCCAGCAGCACTTACCAGTCAACACATTTGTTTTGTTTTGGTTTTTGTTTCCTTTTATCTTTGATTCAATTTTTATTATTATTATTGTTTTTTGAGACAGAGTTTTCTCTTGTTGTCCAGGCTGGAGTGCAGTGGCACGATCTCGGCTCACTGCAAACTCCGCCTCCCGGGTTCAAGTGATTCTTCTGCCTCAGCCTCCTGAGTAGCTGGGATTACAGGTGCACGTCACCACACCCAGTTAATTTTTGAATTTTTAGTAGAGACAGGGTTTCACCATGTTGGCTAGAATGGTCTCCAACACCTGACCTCAGGTAATCCACCTGCCTCGGTCTCCCAAAGTGATGGGATTACAGGCATGAGCCACCATACCCAGCCTATTTTCTAAATTTTTATTTCAACTTTGATGTTAGATTGGGGGGTACCTGTACAGATTTGTTACATGGGAATATTGCATGATGCTGAGGTTTGGGGTACAAATCCCACCACTCTGGTAGTGAACATGGAACCCGATAGGTAGTTTTTCAGCCCATGCCCCTCCCTGCACCCTCCAGTCCACAGTGTCTATTGTTTCCATCTTTGTGTCCATGTTTGCTCAGTGCTTACCTCCCACGTGTAAGTGAGAACATGCGGTATTTACTTTTCTGTTCCTGCGCTAATTTGCTTAGGATTATGGACTCCAGCTCCATCCATGTTACTGCAGAGGACATGATTTCATTCTCTTCGTGGCTGCATAGTATTCCGTGGGTGTATATGCCCCATGTATATGTACATTTTCCTTATCCCACGGATGGGCATCTAGGCTGATTCCATGTCTTCGCTATTGTGAATAGCACAGCAGTGAACATATGAGTACATGTCTCTTTTTGGTAGAATGATTTATTTTGGGAAAGGGGGGGATATATCCACTAATGAGATTACTCAGTCAAATGGTAGCTCTGTGTTTAAGTTTGTTGAGAAATGTCCAAACTACTTTCCACAGTAGCTGAACTAATTTACTTTCCCACCAACAGTGTGTAAGGGTTCCTTTTTCTCTGCAGCCTCATCAGCATCTGCTGTTTTTGACTTTTTAATAATATTCACTCTGACTGGTGTGAGATAGTTTCTCATTTTGGTTGATTTGCATTTCTCTGATGATTAGTGATGCTGAGCATTTTTTCATACATTTTTTGGCCATGTATGATGTTCTGTTTTTTTACTTTTTTGTTAATGTTTTATTACTGAAACACCATATATATTCTTTTGAGAAGTGTCTATTGGTATCCTTTGCCCATTTTTTTTTTTTTTTTTTTTTTTGAGACGGAGTCTTGCTCTGTTACCCAGGCTGGAGTGCAGTGGCGTGATCTTGGGTCACTGCAACCTCTGCCTCCCAAGTTCAAGTTCAAGTGATTCTTTTGCCTCAGCCTCTGGAGTAGCTGGGATTACAGGCATGCACCACCACGCTCAGCTAATTTTTGTATTTTTAGTGGAGACAGGGTTTCATCATGTTGGCCAGGCTGGTTTCAAACTCCTGACCTCAAGTGATCCATCCACTCCGGCCTCCCAAGGTGCTGGGATTATGGGCATGAGCTATCATGTCTGGCTGTCAACAAGTGTTTATTGTGGGCTAGTTATGATAATAATTGTAATGTTATTATCATTATATCCCAGTTTTAATAGAGGTTACTGAAGCCTTTCTCAAAAGCACCAAGATTCTCTTGGCTTCCCCAGGAGATACGAGACATGTCCCTACCTTTGATGTTCTTCTAAGCCTCACTGGGGAGCAAAGTTATCCTGGTCCAAGCCCGAATTCCATCTAGGGCCACTGTGGTTCTGTATTGCAGGGGCGCAGGGGATGTGCGTTTCCGAGATGGGGCTAGGACCCCTTGTAAGGAGAGGCCTCAGTTAACACGGAAGTGTCCACAGCATCGAGGGGCCCTTGGCATCTGGACTGGACATTTCTTCTTGTTCTGGGAATACACTTGTATCCTGCAGGGCTTTTAGAAGCCCCTCTTCCTCTTCCCAGTACCCTTGGGGAAGGATAGGGACAGATGACCTGCCTGCCACAGAGGTTGTATGTCAGGGAGAAGCTGGATAAAAATATAGGGCTGGCTGGGTGTGGTGGCTCACACCTGTAATCCCAGCACTTTGGGAGGCTGAGGCGGGTGGATCATCTGAGGTCAGGAGTTTGAGACTAGCCTGGCTATGGCCAACATGGAGAAACCCCATCTCTGCTAAAATACAAAATTGGCCGGGAGTGGTGGCAGGCACTTGTAATCCCAGCTACTTGGGAGGCTGAGGCATGAGAATCGCTTGAACCCGGGAGGTGGAAGTTGCAGTGAGCCGAGATTGCACCATTGCACTCCAGCCCGGGCGACAAGAGTGAAACTCCATCTCAAAAAAAAAAAAAAAAAAAAAAAAAAAAGGCCTTGAAATGCTGCCAGAGAAGATGAGATAAGGTGTTTGAAACTAAAAGGTCAAGTGTTTCAGCAGACACCTTCCTTCAGCCAATGCCTTCCTCAAATTTGCTATGTGCCAGGCATGGTGCTGCGGTTATTTTCCACACATTCATTTGACATTCATCGATGATTTACTGAGCCCCCATTACCTGTGATCAAAACCAGACACGAACCCTCGCCCTTGTGGGGTGTGCCTTGCTGGATGTTCTCCTGTGCCTGGTGTTTCCCACTCTCACCTGCACCTACACGCGTGGAGGCTCCCAGCCAGGTGCATGCTCTGAGCTGGTGTGCTGGGGTGTGCCCCAGGCTCTCATACCCCTTAGCGGGGGACCCACAGGCAGGCCCCACCTCCTCTAGGCATGTGTGGTCCACAGCTCGGCCACACACAGCAGATGTGACTCTGTGGGTTGGGGCACAGGGAGTGCCAGGTTGGGGCATTTTGCGGGGAGGCCGAGGTGAGAGGATCGCTTGAGGCTGGGAGTTCAGGATCAGCCTGAGCAACATAGTGAGACCCCATCTCTACAAAAAATTGGCAGAGGAGGAATGAGGTTTCAGAGTAGGCGTAGTGGGCTGGCATTTGGACTATACAGGTGCCGGAAGAGTGAAGCAGTGAGGCAGTGGTGAGACCGGCCACCCGTTGGGGGTCCCAGCTGCCCACTGGGTCTCCGGGCTTGTGCCCAAAACGGGCTCAGGAGGTGTTAAACTGAGACTTCATAAAGAGTCTGCTGTGGCCCCTCCCTCACCTCCGAGCCCCAGGCCTGGAAAAACCAAGGAAATGGGAGAAAAGGGCCCCCAGGGAGGCATGTGGGGGACTGGGAAGGGGCAATGCTCAGTAGCATTTCGTCAACAGTGTCAGTCTGGGTCACCCCAACCCTGTGCTGTGTCCCACAGAGCCCTGGGATCCTACATCCCCACAAAGGGCTGGAAGGAAAGCAGAGGGGCAGGCCCTGGCCCCTGCTCTCCTGCGGTCAGTGGCAGAGCTCTCTGCTCCGTTCATTGCACCGACTACCCAGCCCCACTGGCAGCCTCTTCTGCAGGCAGCTATGAGCTCTTTGCACTCATTTTTTTTTTAAGAGCCAGGGTCTTGCTCTGTTGCCCAGTCTGGAGTGCAGTGATGTGATCACAGCTCACAGCAGCCTTGAACTGCTCTTGGGCTCAAGCGAGCCTCCCACCTCAGCCTCCCAAGTAGTTGAAACTAAAGATGTGTGCCACCATGCCTGGCTAATTTTAAAAATTGTTTTGTAGAGACAGGGTCTCACTATGTTGCCCAGGTTGATCCTGAACCCTGGCCTCAAGTGATCCTCCCACCTTGACCTCCCAAAGTACTGGGATTGCAGGTGTGAGCCACTGTACTCAGCCAATTAGCACTTGTGTGAAGTGCAGTGGCACCATCTCTGCTCACTGTAACCTCTGCCTCCTGGCTGCAAGCAATTCTTGTGCCTCAGTCTCCCAAGTAGCTGGGATTACAAGCACCCGCCACCGCACCTGGCTAATTTTCGTATTTTTAGTAGAGATGGGGTTTCTCCATGTTGGCCAGGCTGATCTTGAACTTCTGACCTCAGGTGATCCGCCTGTCTCAGCCTGTCAAAGTGCTGGGATTATAGGCGTGAGCCACCGTGCCTGGCCTCTAAACTCTCTCTCTCTTTTTTTTTTTTTGAGAAAGAGTCTTGCTGTGTCATGCAGTGGCATGATCTCAGCTCACTGCAACCTCTGTCTCCCGGGCTCAAACAATTCTCTTGCCTCAGCCTCCCGAGTAGCTGGGAATACAGGCGCACACCACCACGCCCGGCTAATTTTTGTATTTTTAATAGAGACAGGGTTTCGCCATGTTGGCCAGGGTGATCTCGAACTCCTGATCTCAGGTGATCCCCCCCATTTCAGCATCTCCAAGTGCTGGGATTACAGGCATGAGCCACCGCGCTTGGCCTCTAAACTCTCTTTTAACCGAACTCAGCCACAGCCCTCATTCCAGGACACGCCAAGGCCCCACCGACCACCTGTCCTCTCATGGTCTAGCCAACGCCTTCTGCAGATGCCCTGTGGTAGTTCACATCCACCTATGCCTCTTCTCTCTCCAGCCACGAACAATCCACCAAGTACCTCAACTTCTCAGACTCTGAGGAGAAGGAGAGCCGTGTGGCCATGCACAGATACCAGGCAGGTGGTGGAGACACAGGAGCCTGGGCTGGGGTGGGAGGCTGGGAGCCGGAGACTGGGGAGGGATGTGGGCTTTGGCGTGGGCTCTGCCCTCAGCGCCCTCTGTGCAGGTTAATAACCTGGGACAGAGGGACCTGCCTGTCAGCATCAACTTCTGGGTGCCTGTGGAGCTGAACCAGGAGGCTGTGTGGATGGAGGTGGAGGTCTCCCAGCCCCAGGTACCCAAGGACTGCATGTGGCTCCTCCACGAATGCCCTTTCTACCTGGATTCCTTGTGCCCCATGTGAGTCTCTGACGTCCAAGCTGAGACACTTGTTCTCTGCATTTTCCCCAGAACCCATCCCTTCGGTGCTCCTCAGAGAAAATTGCACCCCCAGCGTCTGACTTCCTGGCACACATTCAGAAGAATCCCGTGCTGGTGAGGAGGGCTCTGGGCCGGCCCTCACTGTAGGCCACACATCAGAGGAATTTGACCCAGGCGTTCATATTCCACATCCATCCTGCTGAAGTACCCTCTTGCATTCGGATGTGGCCACTGCCCTCAAATCACACTGTGTAATGCTGCCTCCCACCTTCACACTCATCTTTCTCAGCCCCATGCTATGTATCTGCCCCCAGGACTGCTCCATTGCTGGCTGCCTGCGGTTCCGCTGTGACATCCCCTCCTTCAGCGTCCAGGAGGAGCTGGATTTCACCCTGAAGGGCAACCTCAGTTTTGGCTGGGTCCGCCAGGTGTGTGGGCGCAACGACAGAGCCCATGCCCCAGACTCAGGCGGGACCTGGTGTGTCTGTGCCCATCTGCAAGCCAGGGCATCCCTGGAGCTCTGAGCCTCCCCCAGAGCCAGTTCCACAGGTTTCCCCCAACCCCTTTGCAGACATCACAGAAGAAGGTGTCGGTTGTGAGTGTGGCTGAAATTACGTTCGACACATCCGTGTACTCCCAGCTTCCAGGACAGGAGGCATTTATGAGAGCTCAGGTAGAGACCGTGTCGGGGGCAGCGACCAGGCTGGACAGAGGGCCCCTAGGGCTACATCCGCGGTGCTGGGTGGGGGTTTGCAAGCCTTGGGGGAGGAGGGTGAAGGTCTCTGGGCAAGACAGCTGTCCCTCAGGGCACGGGTGCTGCTGCATCTCACCTCTTGGAGCAGGGCCTGGGGAAGGAGGAGAGGGAGTTAAACGTTGGGGAGCCTGGGAGGAGTCTGGGATAGCAGGAGGACGGGAGTGCTCTGACGGGGTCACCTCCACTTCAGACGACAACGGTGCTGGAGAAGTACGAGGTCCACAACCCCACCCCCCTCATCGTAGGCAGCTCCATTGGGGGTCTGCTGCTGCTGGCGCTCATCACAGCAGCACTGTACAAAGTGAGTGTTTTATGCCACTCCTGACACCACCAGCATCTGGTCCCGCTCTTTTCGCAGAGTGAGAAGGAGCCCACTGAAGGCACTTTCTTACTGGGTAACTTCATATGAGAAACTGCCTCCCACCTGCAATGTCACCTGTCCCCAATGGCCCCCCACTTTGTGATTCCCAGGTTTCCTTTAATCTTTCTCCCTTTCTTTCCCGCTCTTCTCCATCATTCTACATGTTTCCCTTGACAGCAGACTATCATATAAAAGCACAGACCTGGGTTTGAATGTCGACATCACCACGGGTTCTTTTTGTCTTTGACCATAGGCCAGTGTCTGCTCCACTCTGGGCCTTGATTTCTCAGTGTGAAAGTGATTCTACCCAGCTCATAGAATTTGGGCTACATCTAGGCCGGGTGTGGTGGTTCATGGCTGTAATCACAGCAGTTTGGGAGACCGAGGCAGGTGGATCACTTGAGGTCAGGAGTTAGAGACCAGCCTGGCCTATCTGGTGAAACCCCGTCTCTACTAAAAATACAAAAATTAGTTGGGCATGGTGGCAGGTGGCTGTAATCCCAGGTACTGAGGAGGCTGAGGCAGGAGAATTGCTTGAACCCAGGAGGTGGAGGTTGCAGTGAACCGAGATCACGCCACCGCACTCCAGCCTGGGCAACAGAGTGAGACTCCACCTCAAAAAGAAAAGAATTTTGGCTAAATCTAGATGACACGATGCATGTAAAGTTCCTAGTGCAGTGCTTTGAACCTAGCAAGGATTCCAGAAATAGTGACCCCTCTCCCTCAGTCATCTCTTTTCCTGTCTTCCACTGAATGGACTTCCTGAGTTTCTTCTCCGTCCTCCCCCCAGGTTGGCTTCTTCAAGCGTCAGTACAAGCAAATGATGGAGGAGGCAAATGGACAAATTGCTCCAGAAAACGGGACATAGACCCTCAGCCCACCCAGTGAGAAATCATCTCCTCTTTGCCTTGGACTTCCTCTCCCCTGTGAGGTTTCCCCACTTGCTTACTCTCACCTGTCAGGCCTGAGGGGGAAGAACCATCCCACCTCGGAGAGAGGCTGGGATCAGCCTGCTTCCTGTGTTTGGGAGAAAGCATCTTGCTTGGGAATGGGCCTTTGTCTTGTCAAGGTTCCAAATGGAAACCCTTTGGACAGGGTCCCTGCTGTGTTCCCCAAAGGGTTTGACTTGCAATTTCTACCTAGAAATACATGGACAATACCCCAGGCCTGGCACGAATGATCTTTCTCTTCTTTTCTTTCTTTCTTTCTTTTTTTTTTTTTGAGACAGAGTCTCTTTCTGTCGCCCAGGCTGGAGTGCAATGGCGTGATCTCAGCTCACTGCAACCTCCGCCTCCCGGGTTCAAGTAATTCTGTTGTCTCAGCCTCCTGAGTAGCTGGGACTACAGGCGCCCGCCACCTCGCCCGGCCTCATCTTTCTAAAATACAGTTCTGAACCCGCTGCTCATCCCCACCTGTCTTCAACGGCTCCCCATTACCCTCAGGACAGTGTCTGAACTCTCCAGCTTCGTGGGAGAAGTCCCCTTCCATCCCAGAGGGTGGGCTTCAGGGCACGCAGCATGAGAGGCTCTGCGTCCCCTATCACCCTAATTTCCAGTGAATTAGTGTCATGTCAGCATCAGCTCATGGCTTCATCGTGGAGCTCGCAGTTCCGATTTCCCAGACTGAATTGGGAGTGAGATGCCTGCACGCTGGGTTCTGCAGAGCTGGCCTCCCGCGTGGGGCAGCATGGCTGGCTGGGAGTGAGGAGCGCCCTCTAGGGAGGGACATGGCCCCGGTGCAGCTGCAGCTCACCCAGCCCCAGGGGCAGAAGAGACCCAACCACTTCTATTTTTTGAGGTTACGAATATAGTAACTGAAGAAATGCCACGACATGATTTTTTTTAGTGTACTTTAAATGTTTGTGTTAATAAATTAAAACATACACAAAAAGACGCATCTACCACTCTTGGGATGTATGTCAAAGGTCTAAAAAAAAGGCTTCTGTGGATATGAGTCCTGAAGGATGACCTATGGGGTCCCTTTACCATGGTGGACCCTGACCAGCGGGCCAGGACAAGAAGTTAACCGGAGTAGGGTTGTGAATATCCCTCTTGGGAGTAACCTGACCTCTTAATCTGCTCATTCCACTCTCAGGGCTGGTGCTGGTGGAGCTGTCGGGTGGAGGGGCATAGAATAGAGAAGGGACAACCCCCCAGTGGCTACTCTTCCACCTGGAAAGGTCTCTGGAGTGACCAATACTCACAAGCGTTTCCTACAAGTCCTAGGATATGTTGAAGGGCACACTGTCTGTGAGTGGTTGAAGAGCACTTTGGGGTCCCACATTGAGAGCTGCTGCCCACAGTAAGGTCATTCTGGCTATTATGTCACCATCCTGGCATAAAGTTCATCATGGTTCTTGGCACTGAGCTGGGGGCACACAGGACAAGCTATTCCTGTCCTTGGAGTGATGCCACTTGCAGCTGTCACCAGCAAGGGACCCGGGCTGTGTGGATATTTCAATTAGAAAAACAGAAGGGAGGCGGTTGAGTGATTTGAAGGGAAGGTGGAAAGTGGCCCTTTACCTCCAGCCAAAAATCTCTCTCCTGTACATCAGCAGAGGGTCCAAAATCCCTGTGGATTTTGTAGCTTTTCAGTCCGCAGGACGACTATTATGCAGTTTCCCCAGATAGGGAGTCAGATGATGAGACTTTGTAAGAATTCAGCCCTAGTGGCTGGGCATAGTGGTTCATGCCTGTAATCCCAGCACTTTGGGAGGCCGAGGCAGGAGGATTGTGCTCAGAAATTTGAGACCACCCTGGGCAACACATTGAAATCTTGTCTCTACAAAAAAATTTAAAAATTACCCAGGCATGGTGGCATGTGCCTGTAGTCCCAGCTACTTTGTAGGTTGAAGCAGGAGGATCACTTGAGCCTGGGAGGTTGAGGATACAGTGAGCTGTGATTGGACCACCGCACTCCAGCCCGGGCAACAGAGCAAGATCGTGTCTCAAAAAAAAAAAAAAAAAAAAAAAAAAATTGACCCTAGAGTGGTGTTTCTCAAAATGTGTTCCACGAACCACTGGTGGTCAGTGACGGTCTTCTAAGTGATAGGTTTTAGATAAAAAGAGCAAGAAACCCATACATTTCAAACATTTGAAACTGGTGATTTGCACAGAAATAGTGTTGCAGCCTTAATAATTGTGTGGCACATGGACTCCAGGGACTCCAGTGGGCTCTTGTCTAAGTTCAGGCAACAAGTTGTTGTTTTCTATTTTATTTTATTATTATTATTTTTTGAGACAGTCTCACTCTGTCGCCCAGGCTGGAGTGCAGTGGTACGATCTCGGCTCACTGCAACTTCTGTCTCCCGGGTTCAAGTGATCCCCCTGCCTCAGCCTCCCAAGTAGCTGGGAGTACAGGGGTGCACCACCATGCCCATTTTTATTTATTTATTTATTCTTGAGACAAAGTCTCGCTCTGTCACCCAGGCTGGAGTATAGTGGCATGATCTTGGCTCACTGCAACCTCCGCCTCCCAGGTTCAAGTTCAAGCGATTCTCCTGCCTCAGCCTCTGGAATAGCTGGGATTACAGGTATGCACCACCACGCCCAGCTGATTTTTGTATTTTCAATAGAGATGAGTTTCACCATGTTGGCCAGGCTGGTCTCGAACTCCTGATCTCATGATCCGCCCACCTCGGCCTCTGAAAGTTCTGGGATTAGAGGTGGGAGCCACTGCACTTGGCCGATGAGATGTTATTTTCTGATATTCTTCCTTTGTATGTTATTGTGTACATTTATTACGTTTGCATTTTCAGGGTTGGCTATTGTGTTGCATTAGCATAAAGACACTCCCACTGGTGCCATGACAGTTTACAAATGCCATTGTAACACCCCATAGCAACGGTCAGCAAGTTACCTCCTGTGGTTCTGGAAACTCCCCACTCTTTTTTCAGAAAGTTCTGAATAGCCCACCCCTTAATTTGCACGTAATTAAAAGTCAGTAGAAGTACAGTTAGCCAGCAGCCCACTGGCTGCTACTGTGGGCTCACTGCCTGTGGGTCATCCTGCTCTGCAAGGAACAGCCACCTTGCTGCCACTGCTGCTTCAATAAACATGCTTTCTTCCACCACAGGCTCACTCTTCAGTTCTTTCCTGAGTAAAGCTAAGAACCCTCCCTGGCTAAGCCCCAATTTTGGAGCTTGCCTGCCCTGCATCAGTAGGATGGGCTAACTACTTATGGTGCACTCAGGCTAAAGAGGCTGATGCTTGCAGGGCGGTATTCACAGAGCACACGGCAGTTCACAGGATGCCTCTCGCCCTTGACTCACTGCTTAAGAAAGGAGAGAAAATGGTGAACAGGATCAAATCATGGCCATTGCCTATTCATCTTTTCAGTGTTGTATGGAGAAATAGGCAAGTAGGAGATTGCTTTTCACATTAGTGTCAAAGAGAAAGATCGTTACTTGGAACTTAAAATTTAATTGTGATAAAATATACATAACATAAAATTTACCATCTTAACCATTTTTAAGTGTAGCCAATCTCAAGAGCTCTTTCTGTCTTGTAAAACTGAAACCCTATACCCATTAAACAACTCCCAATTCTGCTCTCTCCCTAACTCCTGGCAACCACAATTCTTTCTATCTCTGTGAATCTGACTGCTTTGGCATGTCATAGAAATAGACTCATACAGTGTTTGTCTTTTTGCGATGGGCATATTTCGCTTAGCATAATGTCCTTAAGGTTCACCCACGTGGTAGCATGTGTCAGAATCCCCTCCTTTTGAAGGCTGAATAATATTCCATTGTGTGTATACCGCATTTTGTTTATCCATTTGCCCATCAATGAGCATTTGGGTTGCTTTTTTTGGCTCTTGTGAATGATGCACTGTGAACATGGGTGCACAAATATCTCTTCGAGACCATGCTTTCAATTCTCTTGGGTATACACCCAGAAGTGGAATTGATAAATCACGTGGTAATTTTTTTTTGAGACAGAATCTTGCTCTGTTGCCAGGCTGGAGTGCAGTGGCACAATCAGAGCTCACTGCAGCCTTGATTTTCTGGGCTCAAGTGATCCTCTTGCTTCAGCCTTCCGAGCTTCTGGGACTAAAGGTGTGTGCCACCATGCTTGGCTAATTTTTAAAAGATTTTGCCAAGCACGGTGGCTCATGCTTGTAATCCTAGCACTTTGGGAGGTTGAGGCAGGTGGATCACCTGAGGTCAGGAGTTTGAAACCAGCCTTGCCAACATGGTGAAATCCTGTCTGTACTAAAAATATAAAAATTAACTGGGCATGGTGGCATGTGCCTGTAGTTCCAGCTACAGGCAGAAGAATTGCTGGAACCCGGGTGGCAGAGGCTGCAGTGAGCCAAGATTGCACCACTGCACTCCAGCCTGAGTGACAGAGTGAGACTCTGTCTCAAAAAAAAAATTGTAGAGATAGTGTCTCGCTGTGTTGCCCAGGCTGGTCTTGAACTCCTGCCCTAAAGTGATCCTCCTGCTTCTGCCTCCCCAAGTGCTGGGATTACAGGCATGAGCCACCATGCCCGGCCTAGCTAAATTGTCTTTAATGTTGCATGTCTGCAAAATGCACATCTATAAAGCCAGAAAAAAGTTGAGCATCCAACTTTTTATGACTTAACTCATGACCTGGCAATTTTTGCAGCAAGGAACATGGGCTGGTGGTTTTAGGATAACTGAGTGAAAAGAAAGAAATACATTAACTAGATTGGATGCCTAGTGCCTGCTGGTCGTGGGTGTTCTCTGCTGGCCCCTGTTCATCTGTGCCTGTTAGCCCATCCATGGGTGAGTGGGGCAAAGTGGCCAAACTGATTCTCAAGAGAGGCATACATACAGAATCCAAGTTAGTCATGATTTCGTTTCTAGCCTGAGTGAATGTGTACATTTTATAAACTTTATCAGCTCAGAGGGAAAAAGCTGTCTCCACACAACATGGTTTATACAAACCTGTCAGGAATTCAGCATGATGAAGAAATGCACAAAACAAGTGTGAACAGATAAGTAAAAGGATCTACTGAAAATCTTCAGGATAGTATATAGTGTGACATGACCAAGAATTTGAAGTCAACGTCTGTATTTGTGCCCTCTGGACAAGGGTTTTATACCTGATGATATAAAAATTAATTCTGGGTCGGGCGTGGTGGCCCATGCCTGTAATCCCAGCACTTTGGGAGGCTGAGGAGGGTGAATCACCTGACATCAGGAGTTGCAGACCAACCTATATCAACTAATAATACAAAAAAAATTAGCCAGACGTGGGTGGCATGCACCTGTAATCCCAGCTACGCAGGAGGCTGAGGCAAGAGAACTGCTTGAACCTGGAGGTTGCAGTGAGCTGAGATTGCACCACTGCACTCCAGCCTGGGTGACAGAGTGAGACGCCATCTCAAAAAAGAATAATAATAATAATTTCGAGGCCAGATGCAGTGGCTGCAGGTGTGGTGGTTCATACCTGTAATTCCAGTACTTTGGGAGGCCAGAGGATTGCTTGAACCCAAGAATTCGAGATCAGCCTGAGCAACATAGTGAGACTCCATCTGTAGAAAACAAACAAACAAACAACAACAAAAAACCAGAGGTGGGAGGATCACTTGAGGCCAGGAGTTCGAGGCCGCAGTGAGCTATGGTCATGTCACTGCCCTCTAGCTTGGGCAACAGTGCGAGACTCTGTCTCGTAACAACAACAACAACAAAAATTAATTCTACTTTAACTGTCAGTTTCATGATATCTTTCCATCAAGAAAAACCTTTTCTATCTGATGAACTATTGGCTAGGTTTTCTTTTTCTCTGCTTTAGACTAATTCATTTAATTACTTTCATTTGCAAACTCTACCCTTCTTATCAACTTTGTATTTTAGATGTGTCTATTGACAGCCTGGCTTCCGTCAGCGATCATTGTGATGATGAAAGTAGATGAATAGGTAAAATTCAATGCAAATATTCCAGGGAATCTAATCCATACCCCAAACGGAAAAGGGGAGAATTGGAAGCAGGCAACTTGAATACATTACTATGGATGTATTTTTCTCATGCAGGGGGGAAAAAGTGATTTGGAGAGAGAGAATTATGAATGCATGTGAAGAATAAAGCCAAATTTCCCGGGAGGAGGGGAAGACCAGGAGAAACAAAGCCAAACCCTGGCTGTGGCCTCTAAGGCATGGGGACATGGAGTTGTGCTCTCCAGCAGACACAGTTCATTCTGGAGAAAGGCTGCAAAAATATTCTCCTTCACACTGATTTGAAAACAATTACATAAATTTGTTGTTTTCTTATTTATCTAAGTGTAACTTTTAAAAACGTACTGAGAGAAGACGGGCACGGTGTCTCACTCCTGTAATCCAGTACTTTGGGAGGTCAAGGCAGGTGGATCACGTATGGTCAGGAGTTCGAGACCAGCCTGGCCAATATGGCAAAACCCCGTCTCTATTAAAAATACAAAAATTAGCTGGGCGTGGTGGTGTGTGCCTGTAATCCCAGCTACTCCACAGGCTGAGACAGGAGAATCGCTTGAACCCGGGAGGCGGAGGTTGCAGTGAAACGAGATTGCGCTACTGCTCTCCAGCCTGGGTGATAGAGCAGGACTCCATCTCAAAATAAAAATTAATTAATTAATTAATTAATTAAAAATTTACTGAGAGCTGGTGGTCCTTTTAAGGGTGGAGCTGCCATCAAGTCCCCGGAGGATGCACTGAATTTGGGGGCATCACCTTTAGCTGCTGTGGACTCCGAGCCTTGGCAGCTCCCGCTCCAGGCCTGGGAGAAAGATGATTTCCTGGCAGCGTGCGGTGATTGTGAGCATTTGACTATCTTACTGCAGTTTTCCCTTATCACTGCTCTCCAAAAATGAGTGGAAAACAAAAAATTTTGCTGAGACAAGCGATAATATGAGTTAGGCAAAGTTGGAGAATTTTACAGTTGCTGATATCAGCAAATTGTGAGTTTCAAACACTGCTTACAGAAGGAAGCCCAAAATTAAAGGGGATATAGAAACGTGTAAAAGATGAGATGCAGTGAAGATGGAGAAAATGAATAGATCTTTAAATTTTTGAATTATGAAGAATCATCAACAAATTATTTTGTGGTTCCAAATACAGGGAGAAGTTCACAGATCCACAGAACTGATGACGGGGTACTGCTGGCTACAAACCCCTCAGCACAAGAGGGAGAAAGTTGCTGCTCCACTTTGCCTTGGCAGTCTTTGTAAGGCAGTAGATAAGTCAGTCTCGAAGTTAGCAATCGCATCCCTCGGCCTGGTTTCCCGCAAGGGCATCATTAATGCATCACAATTAATTTATTCTGTCCATTAAATGTCAGCTCTCAAGTAAATTGATGTAAAATTTTTTTACAGAAAACTGTTTTGTATTATTTGCACTTGATGTTTAGTTACATTTTAAATATTTTGTTTGTCTCATTTTGTTTTGTTTTTGAGACAGAGTCTTGCTCTGTCACCCAGGCTGGAGTGCAATGGCGCAATCTCGTCTCACTGCAACCTCCACCTCCTGGGTTCAAGCGATTCTCCTGCCTCAGCCTCCCGAGTAGCTGGGATTACAGGTGCGCACCACCGCGCCCAGCTAATTTTTGTATTTTTAGTAGAGACAGGATTTCACCATATTGGCCAGAGCTGGTCTCAAACTCCTGACCTCAGATGATCCATCCACTTTGGCCTCCCAAAGTGCTGGGATTACAGGTGTGAGCCACCGTGCCTGGCCTATTCCTAGCCTTTTATATATAGAACATTTTTTTTTCACATTTTAAAGGAACATTTATGTTTAATCATGGAATATTTCAAACATACAGAAAATCACAGAAAATAAATAACAACCACTCATTTATCTTCTCCCCAACCCCATGTATAAATGTTAAAATACTATGTCAAATGCTAAATTTAACACATGCTAAAGGCTCCTGGCTGGATGTGGAGGCTCACACCTGTAATCCCAGTACTTTGGGAGGAGGAGTGAGGAGGACTGCTTGAGTCCAAGAGCTCAAGATCAGCATGGTCAACATAGTAAGATCTCATCTCTACAAAAAACAAAAAAAGCTAGCTGGGCATGGTGGTGTGCATCTGTAATCCCATGACTGGGAGGCTGAGGTGGGAGAATTGCTTGAGTCTGGGAATTTGAGGCTGCAGTGAGCCCTGATCATGCCACCGCATTCCAGCGTGGGCGACATAGCAAAACTTGTCAAAAAAAAAAAAAAAGTTTCCTCTCTGCCCCACCGTAGGCGACCACTCTTCTGGTCTCCATCTTTGTAGATGAATTTTGCCCATTCTCTAACTCGTATATGAAAGGAACCAGACATTAGGCATTCTGTTGTCTGGTTTCTTTCACTTAAGATAAAATTGAGTTAACCTGTGTTGTTGTACAGAACTGTAGTTTGTTTTTGTTATTTATTTATTTGTTGTAAAGACAGGGTCTGGCTGTGTTGCCCAGGCTGGTCTCGAACTGTTGGACTCAAGCAATCCACCTGCCTTGGCCTCACCAAAGCTCTGGGACCACAGGCATGAGCGGCAGCACATGGTCTGTAGTTTGATCTTGTTTCTTGCTGAGTAGTAGCCCATGGCATGACTTTGTTATTTTGGGTGTCCATTCTCCTCTGGATGGGTTCTACTTTGTGAAACCACACCCTGGCCTAGCTCCCCTTCTCCCTGCCTCTCTCCAGGCTCACATCCACACGCCGAGGCCTCCACCGCCGTTCTGCTTCCTGCCCTTCCACTCCTGTGGGACGTCAGAGAGCTATGGGGCTCCCTGGATACCAACTGGCTCCTGAGGCCTGGAGGCGGGTGGTCTTCTGGGAGAAGGAAGTCCCTTGCAGGTGGTGGAGGGGGACAGGATGAGGGTTTTTCCCCAGGGTGTCATTGGCCCCTGCCCCCACTTCTGTTCCTTAACTAACCAGGGCCCTCCTACCCACTGTGCCCCTCCTCCTGCCACGTGGTGGCCCTGAATCATTATTTCAACTAACCCCTGGGAGGGTGAGCACCTTCTGTGCTGTGGCCCCAACCTTTCACTTCCCCTCGACGCACTGCTCAGGGATGACCTTCGGCACCGTGCTTCTTCTGAGTGGTGAGTGGGGCCAGGGGGCTGGGGAGAAGCTTGGAGGGATTCTGAGGGGACTCCATCTGGGAGGGCAGGCTGGGGGCTGGTGGACGGCTCCCACCACTCTCATGAGGAGCTGAGGCAGGGGAGTGCTTCGTGTGCGAGTGGCCCAGAGTCGGGAGAGTGTGACCTGAATGAAGAGGGGCTCAGGGGCTGTGCTCACGTGGCAACTAAGCTACCTCTTCAGCTGGCTATGTTGTCCCAGGCTTCCCCGCTCCCGCTGATGGGGTCTCTGGTGTGGGCGAGAGAGGTCTCCCCAGCCTCCTCCAGGAATGGAAGGCCACAGAAGCCACCAGGGAGGGGGAAAGGTTGGACATCATCTCCCTGGGCCTGTTTCCCCCAAGTCCTGACTGCACGTAGGGAAGAGTCCCCTTGCTGAAAACTGCATCAGAGCCACATTCACGTGCCATCAAAAATCAGGCTTGGCCAGGTGCGCTGGCTCATGCCTATAATCCCAGCACTTTGGGAGGCACTTTGGGAGGGAGATGGGCAGATCCCCTGAGGTCAGGAGTTTGTGACCAGCCTGGCCAACATGGTGAAACCCCGTCTTTACCAAAAATACGAAAATTAGCGGGGCGTGGCGGCATGCACTTGTAATCCCAGCTACTTGGGAAGCTGAGGCAGGAGAATCGCTTGAACCCAGGAGATGGAGGTTGCAGTGAGCTGAGATTGTGCCACTGCACTCCAGCCTGGGCAACAGAGCGAGACTCCATCTCAAAAAAAAAAAAAGAGGCTGGGAGGTCCGAGGGATTGGGGCTTCTTTAACTCTCACTCCCTCCCACCCCCACCAAATATTCCTCAGTCCTGGCTTCTTTTCATGGATTCAACCTGGATGTGGAGGAGCCCACCATCTTCCAGGAGGACGCAGGCGGCTTTGGGCAGAGCGTGGTGCAGTTTGGTGGATCTCGGTAGGCCCCACTCACCCTCCTTCCCCAACCTCCACTGCATCATGTCCTGCGGATGGGTACACACGGGTTACCCCAGGGAGGCGTCCTGGAGGAAGGGCAGCAGGGGTAAGAAATCTTTCCTTGGCTCCTTGGAGGCCCTGATACCAGCATGTATTATTCTCAATCCCAGGAAGGGCCACAAAACTCTAGACAAGACCCCACCTTATCTCAGGAGGGAGGCCTTGAACCTGCCTTCCAGGCAGGGCCCACTTCTTGGGGGCCAGTGCAGTCACACAGGGCCCACACTCATTAAGTTTGGAGTTTAATGTTCTGCCCTTAACCTCTTGAAATTCCTGATGATTTTTATTTTTATTTTTACTCCAGCTCTGTTGCCCAAGCTGGAGTGCAGTGGTGCAATCACAGCTTACTGCAGCCTCAAACTCCCGGGCAAAGTGATCCTCTCACCTCAGCCTCCTGAATAGCTGGGACCACAGGTGCATGCCATCATGCCTGTTTTTTGTTTTGTTTTGTTTTGCTTTTTATGGAGACAGAGTCTTGCTATGTTGTCCAGACTGGCTGAACTCCTGGGCTCAAGCAGTCCTCCTGCCTTGGCCTCCCAAAGTGCTGGGATTACAGTGAGCCACACTGCCTTGCCAATTCTTGATTTTATCTGTGCATTTGTGTTTTGTAAGTAAAGAATGATGGCAGGGCTGGGCACCATGACTCACGCCTATAATCCCAACATTTTGGGAGGCCGAGGCAGGCACATCATCTGAGGTCAGGAGTTTGAGACCAATTTGGCCAACACAGCAAAACCCTGTCTCTACTAAAAATGCAAAAAAAAAAAAAAAAAAAAATTAGCTGGGCATGGTGGCAGGCACCTGTAATCCCAGATACTTAGGAGGCTGAGACAGGAGAATCGCTTGAACCTGGGAGGTGGAGGTTGCAGTGAGCCGAGATCGCGCCACTTTACTCCAGTCTGGGTGACAGAGTGAGACTCCGTCAAAATAAAAAAAAGAATTATGGGAGAAGGGAGACGCACTGGGGGTTTGGAGCCTTAGCTCAGCAGCAGCCCCACCTCCCACCACCTCCTAGGGAAGGGGTATCAGCTGCTGGCTCCCCCATCCGCATGGGAGCAATGACCACTGTCACCTTCCACCCCTGGCATGAGCTGGGTAAAGTCAGTTAGGTGCGCTCACCCTGGGAGTACCCTGAGGGAGTGGGACACTGCATAGCAAATAAAAAAACCCCAGGAGAGGTTGAGGGAGAGAACAGAAGAAAGGTAAGAGCCCCTCAAGCCCAAGAGACCCCACATGTTTCTTTCGAATTGGGACCCACAAATGATGAGCCTATCCCCGCTTCCAGGAGCTCACATTCTCCTGCCCCAGAGAGTTCCAGTCACAGTGTGACACAGGCGTCACCAAGGTCTGGGGGGCGCAGACAGGGAGACAGCAGACCCAGGGGGGCTTCATGGAGGAAGTGGTGCCGGCAGTGAGCCCCAGTGGACAGGAAGGCTCAGTTGGTCACAAGGAGCTGTGAGAGGTCACCGAGCTCCAGCTGCACATCCCTCTCCCTTCCTCATGTGACCGGCAGTCTGGGGGGATGGAAGCAAGTGCCAGGCACCAGGGTTTTGTTTTTATTTATTGCGAAATGTGGCCAACTGAAGTGCACGAATCCGAAAGACCCAATTTGATGAGGGATACACATGTTTGTGCCTGGGTGAGCCCCACCTAGGTCAGCTGCTCCTGTGTAAAATCCCACAGGCACAGGGCTGCCATGGACCCCTTCTCATTACCCAACAAACCCAGAGAACCAGTGGTCAGACTTCTGCACCATCAGTTTTTTAGGCCACATTTTAAAAAAAGAATACATTGGCTGAGTGTGGTGGCGCATGCCTATAATCCTAGCACTTTGGGAGGCTGAGGTGGGTGGATCACCTAAGGTCAAGAGTTCAACACCAGCCTGACCAATATGGTGAAACCCCGTCTCTACTGAAAAATACAAAAATTAGCCTGGTGTGATGCCTGTAATCCCAGTTAGCTGGGTGACTGAAACAGGAGATTCGCTTGAACCTGGGAGGTGGAGGTTGCAGTGAGCCGAGATCACGCCATTGTACTCCAGCCTGGGCGACAGAGTGAAACTCCATCTCAAAAAACATGTGGGTTGATGGGCTACCCTAAAGGTTTGCTCATCGTTTGTATCAGCAGGTTCCAAACTGCTGCCTCTCTAGCCAATGCTCAGATTTTCATCACAAAGCCTTAGGCATCCCCTGAATCATGATGCACAGGGATTGTAGCTTTCTGTAAAGGAGCGGCACCTAGAAGGAGCCCTCACATGGCCATTTAATGAAACCTTGCTTGGCGCATTAACATACACCAGTATTTGTCTGTTTTTCTCACCGGGGTGAGGAGATTGTGGGTAGTGAGAAAACATTTCCGAAATTAAAGAACTTTCCCACTCAAGGATTTTTGCAAATAAACCATGGACTCTACATAACTCTAGATATAGTTATGGATCCTAGTACACTGCTTTACCAATTGAAATTGCTTATATAATATTTAAATTGGTCCAATGAATTACAGAATCAACTATTGGTTTTGAAAGCACATGTCTTCAGGAAATCGTTCCAATTAACTTGAGATGATCTTATTTCTTGGGTGATTCAAAATAATGGCAACTCAGAAACGCAGTGTACTTACCCATGATTGGGAAATGCCATTTTGGTCTTTAAATAGTTTTCTTTTTGGTGAATGTTAAAAAAAAAATTCTAAACATAAATACACACATACGTACGTATGCACACTCAAAACCAAATAAACCCCAGCATGACCCCTGGGCATCTGTGGGTTATACTCGGGCCCTGATTTCTGAATATTCTGCCAAATGGCAAATGCCAGAAGATTTCCCTCACAAAGTCTCACTTCCCCATGGAGGGACACTTCCTCGCCCCCAGTGCCTGCTGCTCCCACCGCTCCTGTGGCTACAGTGACATGGCCACGGTTGTGTCTCCAGACTCGTGGTGGGAGCACCCCTGGAGGTGGTGGCGGCCAACCAGACGGGACGGCTGTATGACTGCACAGCTGCCACCGGAGTGTGCCAGCCCATCCCGCTGCACAGTGAGTGACCACCTGGGAATTGGGCCCCTCAACCCTCCTGGACCCAACTGTGCCCCCGCTTAGCTTCCAGTCCAGACCCTTCCCACAAATAAGTGTGTGCTGTGAGTGAGACCCCACGTGTCTGCCCTCGCAGTCCACCCCGAGGCCGTGAACATGTCCTTGGGCCTGACCCTAGCAGCCTCCACCAACCGCTCCTGGCTTCTGGTGAGTGAGTGCTTTGGGCCACGGTGGCGGGGAGGGGGGTTGTAGGGGAGGAGGCTGGGGCTGGGGGTGAAGGAGGAGGGGGTGCTAGGGGCTCCTGGCTCACAGGTTCCTGCCTCCAGGCCTGTGGCCCGACCCTGCACAGAGTCTGTGGGGAGAACTCGTACTCAAAGGGTTCCTGCCTCCTGCTGGGCTCGCACTGGGAGATCATCCAGACAGTCCCCGACGCCCTGCCAGGTAGGTTCCCGGCAGGCCACGGTTCCCTGTGGAGCACATGCTGGCACTGAGGGTGAGCAGGCATGAGGCCTGTGTTTGGGCTCATGTGCCCTCCCTGGAGGGCCAAGTGTGGCTAGGACAGAAGCCAGGAGGGGAGGGCGGCTCAGGCAGGAGCCCTGCTGCTCCAGGGTAGAAGTTCTTTGTAGGGTTTTTCTTTACAATTTTTTTCTTTATAAGACAGGGTCCCCGCCAGGCACGGTGGCTTAGGCCTGTAATCCCAGCACTTTATGAGGCTGAGGTGGGAGGATCACCTGAGGTCAGCAGTTCGAGACCAACCTGGCCAATGTGGTGAAACCCCTCTACTAAAAATACAAAAAAAAAAAAAAAAAAAAAGTCGGATGTGGTGTGCACCTGTAATCCCAGCCATTCGGGAGACTGAGGCAGGAGAATCACTTGAACCCAGGAGGCGGAGGTTGCAGTGAGCCGAGATTGTGCCATTGCACTCCAGCCTGGGTGACAAGAGCAAAACTCCATCTCAAAAAAACAAAAAACAGAGTCTCTGTCAGGCTGCATGCACCACCACACCCTGTTAATTTTTTTGAGACAGAGTCTTGCTATGTCACCCAGGCTGGAGTGCAGTGGTGCAATCATAACTCACTGCAGCCTCGAACTCCTGGGCTCAAGTGATCCTCCTCCCTTAGCCTACCGAGTAGTTGGGACTGCAGGTACATGCATCACACCTGGCTAATTTTAAAACATTGTGTTTTTGTAGAGATGGGAGTCTTGCTATGTTGCCCAGGCTGATCTTGAACTCCTGGGCTCAAATAATCTCTGCCACAGACTCTCAAAGTGTTGGGATGACAGGCATGAGTCCTCATGCCCGGTTTGAGGAGTGAAAGTTCTGATGGGGGCAGAGAGAAAGTTCTGATTCAGACCAGAGAGGCCATGACCACAGGCATGCTGGGCCTTTAGACAAAGGTGGAGCAGCAGCAGAAGAGCAAATGGTGAGGGTGGAGTGTATGGAGGGGACTGAGGGAAGGGGGAAGAGACATCTAGGGCTTTTGGGGGGGATCGTGCCCAGCCTGAGATGTCTGTGAAGCCAGGTTAGGGAGGTGGCACTTAAAAACAAGGGGTAAATGTCTTCTCACAGCCGTCTCTGGAACTCATGAGGTGGGGTGCCTGATGCAAATGGGACTGGAGCATAAACCTGGTGCAGGCAAGGAGGGTGTGGGTCCAAGTGGAAGGGACCAGGGTCCACTGAACATCACCTGTGTGCCAGGCAGTGCTGAGTACCTGGTAGGAATCACCTTATTGCATCCTCACAACATCCCGGGTGGTGGGCAGGCCCATTCCCATAGATGAGAAAACCAAGGTTCAGATAGCTAAGTTCCCATCAATAAAAAGAGGCAGAGCCCAGAGCTTGAGCCATCCTTGCCTGATTGGTGGGGTCATTTTTCAAAAGGACATGTCCAGGCTTCTGCTAGTGGAAGCCCAGGGAATACAATAAAAAGACCAAGAAAACAGAAGAGACATTGTGAGAGGATTTGCCACAGACCTGGCTTGAGAGAGGATGAGAGGGTGGTTTCTTGATGCAGCTGAAAAAACAAGTACCAGTGTAAGACATTGGCTGCCCAGATGTGGGCAAAAAAGGGGAGCTCCTGGGGAATCCGCAACCTGCCCCATGGATATCAAGATTTGCTGGTGATTGAAGAAGCAGGAAGGAAGGTGACCTTCTGTTTCTCCCCAGCACCCTTGAAGCACCAAGTGGTTGAGCAGGTGGGGTGGGGGAGAGGAAAGAGGAAAAGGCATTTTTTTCTGCAGTGGTGGGCGCGGGGCAGAAACCACAGCCCTGCAGTGTGGGCCTCACACCTTAGTGCTCTGATGGCCTGATCTCCCACCGCCCTGTGGGCAGCACAGGATGTGGCTGCTGGTGGAGATACCAACTGGGCCCTGAACACAGGCCACACCCCCCATGAGCCTGGGGACAGCATGAAAATTCTTGTTTGTTTATGTGCATATGATGTGTCCTCACAATTGCAGAGCGAACTCTACAGACTCTGAGGTCACTTGGGAATGTTCCTTTTTTTTTTTTTTTTTTTTTTGCGACAGAGTCTTACTCTGTCGCCTAGGCTGGAGTGCAATGGCACAATCTCGGCTCACTGCAGCCTCTGCCTCCCGGGTTCAGGTGATTCTCCTGCCTCAGCCTCCCAAATAGCTAGGATTACAGGCACCCGCCACCATGCCTGGCTAATTTTTTTGTATTTTTAGTAGAGATGGGGTTTCACCATGTTGGCCAGGCTGGTTTCGAACTCCTGGCCTCAAGTAATCCACCCACCTCAGCGTCCCAAAGTGCTAGGATTACAGGTGTGAGCCACCACACCCAACTGGGAATGTTCTTGGGTGCCGCTTCCATGGGAGCGTGAAGGGTGGACGCAATGCAATCATAACAGAGGCCCAAGGCCAGCACAGGGGTGCTTGTCTGTCATCTCAGCGCTTTGGGAGGCCGAGGTGGGTGGATCATTAGAGCCCAGGAGTTTGAGATCAGCCTGGGCAACATGATGAAACTCCGTCTCTACAAAAATATACAAAAATTAGCCAGGCAAGGCGGTGCACGCCTGTAGTACCAGCTACTCAGGAGGCTGAGGTGGGAGAATTGCCTGAGCCTGGAGAGGTCGAGGCTGCACTGACCTGTGATCACACCACTATACTCCAGCCTGGGTGACAGTGAGACTCTGCCTCAAAAAAACAAAAAATGAATAAACCAGAGGCCTCAGCCAATGCCTGGGGGGCTCAGAGTGCAGCTGGCCCTTCAGACACTGAACCAGTCATTGGTAAAGGCTACCTCCAGGTGCAGGAGGTGTCCCCGTGGGCAAGAGCTCCCCTCTGCCTAGCATGATTCCTGGGAAGGGACTCAGCTCAGAGCCAACTCCACATAGCTGGAAATGAGGACCTCTGATCTGACCCGGGATTAGGGCTGGGTCTGGGGTGGATCCCTGCCCCACCCCCACAGCAGCCCTACAGGCATATCCTACAGGCCTCGAAGGTGCCTGGCACATGGTGAGAATTGTGCCAGTGGTTGACCCTGGCGGAGGGCCAGGACTTGTCTCCAGCATCCATGTGTGTGTTGCTTTATCCTTGCAGTAATCCCATATGGCAGCCACTGCTATTGCCTTCATTTTACAGAAAGGGACACTGAAGTCCAGAGAAGTTAAGTAATGTGCCTGAATTCACCAATTAGCACATGGCTGAGCTGGGGTTTAGCCCAGGCACACTGGCTCCAGAACACGCACCCTGAACCACTTTGCTAGACATTCACCCGTGATGCTTGTGGCACCCCTAGCATCTGTGTTTAATGAATATTTATTGATTAAATGAATGAGGAGCCCACCTGGGCCCTGGGTTCTCATCTCCCTCTTTCCAGGCCATGTGGGAGGGAGGGAGCAGGGGGCTGGGGTGGCAGATTGGGGCCTCCTTCAAGGAGGGGTCGGAAACCAGGTGGGGATGCCAAGAACAGCTCCCAGGTTCTGTTGAGCAGGAGCTGCAGGACAGGGCTGGGCCCCCACAGTGCGTCTCCAATTCCTCCCCATTCCCCCACAGAGTGTCCACATCAAGAGATGGACATCGTCTTCCTGATCGATGGCTCTGGAAGCATTAACCAAAATGACTTTAACCGGATGAAGGGCTTTGTCCAAGCTGTCATGGACCAGTTTGCGGGCACTGACACCCTGGTGAAGACTGGGCACCTGGGGCTGGGGGTTGGGGGACGGGGGAGGCTGGCCTGGGAGAGGCATCCTGAGAGGGGGTGGGGGCAGGCCAGTGGAGCCGTATGCCATGGGGCTGGAGTGGAGGATGAAGCTATGGTCCCAGCGCAGGCCCAACTTGAGCCCTGACCTAGGAGGCGACACCCCTTGGCATTTAATATGTATCCAAAAGCTACAGGAAATACAATGTTTCTGCTGTTTAAAAACATTGAAAGTGTTTAAAAAATAATTTTGCTATGAAATTTGACTGACTATAACTCAGTCAACTGATTGATGATTTATTGTATTTTCTATGTAACTAATGATATACTTTTATTATTTTATTTTCCAATAACTAGTGTCTGTGTATGTGCAAAACCGCCCCATTTGTTGTTTTTTAAACAGGGTCTTGCTCTGTCATCCAGGCTGCAGTGTGGGGGCGCAATCATCGCTCACTGCAGGCTTGATCTCCTAGGCTCAAGTGATCCTCTTGCCTCAGCCTCCCGAGTAGTTGGGACTACAGGTGCATGCCACCATGCCTGGCTAATTTGTTAAAATTTTTATTTGTAGAGATGGGGTCTTGCTATATTGCCCAACCTGGTCTCCAACTCCTGGCTCAAATAGTCCTCCCACCTTGGTCTCTCAAAGTGCTGGGATTACAGGCATGAGTCACTATGCCCAGCCACAAATACTTGAGAATCAAGGAAATACACAAATTGATTTAATGTGTGATAAATTTTTTTATAAGCTAAGGGTAGCAAATATTGTGGTTGGCAAGGTTATTTTTAGTAAACTGTGAAGGAAACATCATTTGGTTTAGATTTTCCAGTTTATATTTTGTATTTTTGGGCCAATGAATTTTCTTCTCTGGGTTTCAGTATATTATTTGTAGGGCCTCAAAACACATGGGAAATGGTTTGTAAATCCAAAATAATTCCAAAATAAAGTTTATTAAAACTAAAAACAATATGGCTTGGTGTGGTGGCTCAAACCTGTAATCCCAGCACTTTGGGAGGCTGAGGTGGGAGGATTGCTTGAGGCCAGGAGTTCGAGACCGGCCTGGGCAATATAGTGAGACCTTGTCTCTACCAAAACCAAACCAAAACAAAACAAAACAAAAAACAAAGCCAGGCATGGTGGTGTGTGCCTGTAGTTCCAGCTACTTGGGAGGCTGAGGCAGGAGGATCACTTGAGGCCAGGAGCTTGAGAGACCTGTCTCTACAAAAAATTAAAATAAACAATAGAAACAGGCACTGAACCCTGGGCCCTCCCCGCTGGCCTTTGCAGTTTGCACTGATGCAGTACTCAAACTTCCCGAAGATCCACTTCACCTTCACCCAATTCCGGACCAGCCGGAGCCAGCAGAGCCTGGTGGATCCCATCGTCCAACTGAAAGGCCTGACATTCACAGCCACGGGCATCCTGCAAGTGGTGTAAGCACTCCCAACCCCGGCCTGCCAATGTGGCTGCCACCCCCACTTCCTAACCCTGGGTCAGCACAGCTCTTCTCAGAGGCTGAGGGAGGCTCCGGGGAAAGGGGCTACCAAGGGGCATGTCAGGGCTGCGGGGAAAACCTCCCCCCGGGGTGCTCCTGGCTGCCTCACTGCCGGTCTCCCTAATATAGGACGAGGCTCCTCTGCAGCTGTGCCTCCCCTTTGCCTGGTTCTGCAGAGCCTGGATCCCAGAACCCCTCCCCACCCCACAGCAGCCAGAGGCCCGGGCTTTGGCTCAGACACATCAGGCTTCCATCCTGGCTCCCCACGAGCTACTCTGGGTGTAACCCTGGGAGTGACGGGCTCTAAGTCTCAGTGACTCTCAGATGAGGATAAGCTCACAGCTTAGGATTGAGATCATGCGTATGGGGTGCTCAGCTCGGGGCACACAGGAGGTGTCAGATAAATGCCTGAGGTTTTATCAGAGAATGGAGCAGTCAGGGACTCAGGAATTGTCACCCAAGGTCGTCCTGGTGCCTTTCTCCCTACTCACCTCCTCCCCTGCATCCCTCACCCCTGCGCAACCCCTGTGCTACTCAGGCACTCACCATGGGCCTGCCTTATGCACATACGGTCTATGCCTAAAATGATGTAGGAGGTGGGGCCCCCGAGAAGGGCATGTGGTTCTTGTGGGAAGGAGCTGGGCTGAAGGTCGGGGATCCTTGGCTTCCTGCCATGGGGTGCTGGGTTCCTTCCCATGGGGTGCTGCTAGAATTTGGCTTAAGCAAGAGATGCTCCTGCCAAACGCACCATCTTTACTTCTGGGAGGATCTTCTGCCTTGAACGGTGGCCCCCTGTGACTCAGCAACCCAGAGGAAGGCCTCCGTCTGTCCTGTAAGATTAAAGTAATACAGGAGTGTCCCCCTCCTGGAGTCTCCACCTCACCCCTCAAAGTTCTTCCAGTGGTGGGGCCTGGGAGAAAAAATGAATGAGGCAGAGGTGACCAAGTGGTTCTCACCAACTCCAGTGATGCTCTCAAGCCCAGAGTGCAGGGAGTTTCCCAGCAGCCTCTGCTCCCCAGAGCCAAGCCCATCTCAGGGCTGGACTCAGCCAAGGATTGGACCTCCCTGCTGCCGGCCCTTCCCTTCCCTTCCCTTCCCTTCTTCCCTTCCCTTCCCTTCCCTTCCCTTCCTCCCTTTCTCCTTCCCTCCTTTCTTTCTTCCCTCCTTTCTTTCTTCCCTTCCTCCCTTCTTCCCTTCCTCCTTTCCCTCCCTTCCCTCCTTCCTTCTCTCTCTCTCTCTCTTGTTTTTTTAGACAGAGTCTCACTCTGTCGCCCAGGCTGGAGTGCAATGGCACAATCTTGGATCACTGCAACCTCCATCTCCTGGGTTCAAGCGATTCTCCTGCCTCAGCTTCCCAAGTAGCTGGGATTACAAGTGCACACCACCATGCCCGGCGAATTTTTGTATTCCCAGTTCAAGCAATTCTCCTGCCTCAGCCTCTGAGCAGCTGGGACTATAGGCCTGCACCACCACGCCTGGCTAATGTTTGTATTTTTAGTAGAGATGGGGTTTCACCATATTGGCCAGGCTGGTCTCGAACTCCTGACCTCAAGTGATCTGCCCACCTCGGCCTCCCAAATGCTGGGATTACAGGTGTGAGCCACCACGCTCAGCCTCTTCCTTCTCTTCCTTCTTTTCTTCCCTTTCTTTCTTTTCTTCTTTTTTTAAAAAGAAGTTTTATTACAAAAAAAAAAAAAAAAAAAAAAAGCAAAACCCAAATGGCAATAACAGTAAGGAAACTTTTTTAAAAAGAAGTATTATATTACCCACAGTCCCTCTAGTCAACCACCCTACAGTATTTTAGTAACATCAAGGGATACTTGCAAGTGAATCAATAAATCTCAGCCGCATAGCACAATGCCACTTCCATCCCCATCTTTATTCAGGCTTATTTTGTATGGTCACATTCAGGGCAGAAACTATTTTCATCCTGTTTGGGTTTTTTCCCCACCTCATCTAGGTCCACAATTTTTTGTTTTCCTTTTTTTTTTTTTTTTTTTTTTTGAGATAGGTCTCACTCTGTTACCCAGGCTGGGGTGCAGTGGCACGATCATGGTTCACTGCAGCCTCCTCCTGACTCAACCTCCCGAGTTGGGATCACAAGTGCATGCCACCATATCTGGCTAATTTTAAAAAATATTTTTTGTAGAGACGGGGTCTTGCTATGTTGCCCGGGCTGGTCTTGAACTCTGGCCCTCGAGAGATCCTTCTGCCTCGGCCTCCCATACTGCTTTCCTTTGAAATGGCTGTGTCTACTAACAGGCTAGGTCATGACTGGCTAAACCCTTTCCCCAGTGTTGGATATTTGGGTTATTTCCAATATCATATTTGGCACCTGTGTGTATTTGCTCTGAGTTTATAGAGTTACATGAGCAGGCAGTTACTTTTTTTTTTTTTTTTTTTTTTTGAGACAGAGTCTCACTGTCGCCCAGGCTGGAGTGCAATGGCGTGATCTCAGCTCACTGCAACCTCCGCCTCCCAGGTTCAAGCGATTCTCCTGCCTCAGACTCCTGAGTAGCTGGGACCACAGGCACGTGCCACAACACCCGGCTAAGTTTCGTATTTTTAGTAGAGATGGGGTTTCACCATGTTGGTCAGTCTGATCTCAAACTCCTGACCTCGTGATCCTCCCACCTTGGCCTCCCAAGGTGCTGGGATTACAGGTGTGGGCCACTGTACCCGGCCGATAGGTACATGTTTAATTGTTTGTTACAGCTGTCATCTAATTAGTAGTCACCCACAGGCCATTCACTGTAAAAGCTTGACCTTGTTTAATCTTCGGGATAACCTGACACTACTTGTTTCAGTTATCTACTGTTGCCTAACAAACCATCCCCAAATTAAGTGGGTTAAACAACCCAGCACTAAGCTAGTGTCTGGTGCCTGGGGGGGATATGCTGGAAGGCAGGCTTGGTGGGGATGGCTGAGCCTCTTACTTCCGGTGGCCTTCTTCCATGTGACCACTCCATGGGTGCCTCCAATAGGGCAGCCAGACTTCTCTCATTGTGGCTCAGGGCTCCCAAAAGTGCAAAAGCAAAAGAAACCAAGGCTTCTGAGACCTATGATTGGCATGGTGTCACTTCCACCACATGCTGCTGCTGAGAGTGGGACTCAGCGAGGCCAGGTCCACTGTGGGAGGGAACCAGGTGTGGTTCACTGGGGGCCATCTTTAGAGACAGCTACAGCACAGTCATCCTCATCATACATGGAGAGAGGCAGAGGCCTGGAGAGGTTAAGTCCCATCCCCAAAGTGTGTCTGACTCCAAAGCCCCTGCTTTGAACCACACTTCCTCTGGGGAAGAGAGCTCAGCCTTGGATAGAATTTAGAAACAAAGAATGTGACTTCCTTTATTATTGATCTAATTATGGTTTGTGTGGCTTTCAAAAATGGCCAAATTAGCTGGGCACGGTGGCTCACGCCTGTAATCCCAGCACTTTGGGAGGCTGAGGCTGGTGGATCACTTGAGGTCAGGAGTTTGAGATCAGCCTGACTAACATGGTAAAACCTCATCTCTACTAAAAATACAAAAATTAGCTGGTTATGGTGGTGGGCGCCTGTAATCCCAACTACTCAGGAGGCTGACGCAGGAGGATCGCTTGAACCCGGGAGGTGGAGGTTGCAGTGAACCGAGATCACGCCACTGCACTCCAGAGCCTGGGCATAAGAGTGAGACTCTGTCTCAAAAGAAAACCAAAAATGGCCAAATCAGTTCCTTAATATGCCTGATAGACTGTGAGGGTGCCAGGACTCCGCAGCCTCTCCAGATGAGAGCACGGCAAATGACGTCTTTCCAGTAGAGTCACATCTCAGTAGAGTCACATCTCAGTAGAGTCATCTTCCTTTCCTCCCTGACAGGACACAGCTATTTCATCATAAGAACGGGGCCCGCAAAAGTGCCAAGAAGATCCTCATTGTCATCACAGATGGGCAGAAATACAAAGACCCCCTGGAATACAGAGATGTCATCCCCCAGGCAGAGAAGGCTGGCATCATTCGCTACGCTATCGGGGTGCGCCTCTTCTTCACCCCTGCCCCAGGCTCAGCCTGCACCTCCTGCAGGTGCAGTGCTGCTGGGCTCCTCCTCCTCAGCTGCCTCTCTGCTGCAGGTGGGACGCGCTTTCCAGGAACCCACCGCCAGGCAGGAGCTGAACACCATCGGCTCAGCGCCTCCACAGGACCACGTGTTCAAGGTGGACAACTTTGCAGCCCTTAGCAGCATCCAGAAGCAGCTGCAGGAGAAGATCTATGCAGTTGAGGGTAAACGGGAGCAAGAGGGCTCCTGGGAGCCAAGGGGTCCCCACCCAATTGTCCCGCGCAGTCTTTTTTTTTTTTCTTTTTTTTTCTTTTGAGATGGAGTCTCACTTTGTCCCCAGGCTGGAGTGCAGTGGCACGATCTTGGCTCACTGCAACCTCTACCTCCTGGGTTCAAGTGATTCTCCTGCCTCAGCCTCCCGAGTAGCTGGGATTACAGGCATGCGCCACCATGCCCAGCTAATTTTTGTATTTTTATTAGAGGTGGGGTTTTGCCATGTTGGCCAGGCTGGTCTCGAACTCCTGACCTCAGGTCATTCGACAACCTTAGCCTCTCAAAGTGCTGGGATTACAGGCATGAGCCACCGCTCCTGGCCTGTCCCGCGCAGTCTTGATGGGCCATTCCTGTTCACAACTCACTCAAAATTGCTCTCCAGAACCCAAGCCTCAGATCATGTTCTCCTCCCTGTGTTCTGAGTCCTCATGTGTCTCACGGCTTCTAGGAACTTCACTGACTTGTTTCCCTACAGGAACCCAGTCCAGGGCAAGCAGCTCCTTCCAGCATGAGATGTCCCAAGAAGGCTTCAGCGCAGCCCTCACAATGGTGGGTAGAGTCTGCCCTCAATCCACAGCTCTTGGATATCAATTCTGTGCCCACTCTGGGCTGGGAGCCAGACATAAACAAGATCAGACCCCGTCCTCAATTTCACCCTCTCGCTGGGGAGAGGCCTCCACGCTGTATGTTAGGGGCCAGGAGCACAGCAGGGAAGAGGGTGGCCTGGGTTCCTGCTCTCAAGGATCACGTATTCTAGTGGAGGAGACAGTAAGCAAGAGCCTCTCAGACAGCACTGAGCATCAGGGTAGAGAGAGAGATGGCCAGAGGAGTCTCAGTAATGGAAAAGGCCAGCCCTGGACAAATCAGGGGAGACTGTTCTGGCCACGGGACAAAGCGAGTGCCAGGCGGACCTGGGTCCAGGTTCTTGGAGGGAGAGAGAGGGGCTTGCCAGAGCCCAGGGAGCCCAGGCAGCCTGGAAGGAGAGGGCTGGAGGCTGAGAAGGACCAGGTGGGATCAAAGATGTGGTTTCAAAGTGCATGTGTGTTCAAAGGATCCAGATTGGGCCGGGCACTGTGGCTCACGTCTGTAATCCCAGCACTTTGGGAGGCTGAGACGGGTGGATCACTTGAGGTCAGGAGTTTGAGAACAGCCTGGGCAACATAGTGAGACCCTGTCTCTACAAAAAATTAAAAAATTAGCCAGGCATGGTGGCACGTGCCTGTGGTCTCAACTACTCAGGAGGGATTGCATGAGTTCAGGAGTTCAAGACCGCAGCGAGCTATGATTGTGCCACTGCATCACAGCCCGCGTGACAGAGCAACAGCCTGTTTCAAAAAAAAAAAAAAAAAGGTGAAGTTGAAGTTGACTCTTACAGGGAGGGGAAATGAGCTGAGTCCCAGAAAACGAGAAGGGGAGGGAGGTGTCCCGGCCAAAGGCTTGATGTGCTTTGGAACAGAGGGAGGCTCCATGGCTTTGATGGGGAAGGGTCCTAGGTGCCACCGGAAGGGCCTTGGCGATGGTTTTCCAGCAGGGGTGGCTGCACATTTGGGTTTGGGGAAGCCTGGCACTGGGGCAGTAGACAGAGGGGCAGCGGTGAGCACAGCGGGGGCAGACAGGGCGGTGAGTGAGAGGAGAGTGAGCTGGCGGAGCAGTGGCTGTGGGGACAGAGGCTGCTGGTGAGGGCTGGGAAGACAGAGAAGAAAGGCCTGGATGGCAAGTGATGCGGGCGGCAGGCGTGTCTCTGGGACATACTGTCTTCCTGCTCCCGCCTCTGCTCAGCCCTGGAATTCTTTCCTCCCAGGATGGCCTCGTCCTGGGGGCTGTGGGGAGCTTTAGCTGGTCTGGAGGTGCCTTCCTGTACCCCCCAAATATGAGCCCCACCTTCATCAACATGTCTCAGGAGAATGTGGACATGAGGGACTCTTACCTCGGTGAGAAATGGCCAGGGGTTGGGGACAGGTGGGAGATGCACTGCCTGGGATGGGGTCCAGGGTTCTGTGGAGGGGAGATGGGGGCTGTGCTGCCCAGGGTGGGGGTCCAGGGTTCTGCGGAGGGGAGAAGGGGGCTGCGCTGCCTGAGGTGGGGTCTAGGGTTCTGGGGAGGGGAGAAGGGGGCTGTGCTGCCCAGGGTGGGGTCCAGGGTTCTGGGTGGGGGGAATGGGGACCTTTGTGCTGAGGCCTGGGCCCCTCAGGTTACTCCACTGAGCTAGCCCTATGGAAGGGGGTGCAGAGCCTGGTCCTGGGGGCCCCCCGCTACCAGCACACCGGGAAGGCTGCCATCTTCACCCAGGTGTCCGGGCAGTGGAGGCTGAAGGCCGAAGTCACGGGGATGCAGGTTGGCTGTGACAGGAGCCAGAGGGGAAGATGAGGGTGGGGACCGTGGCTGGGGCCGGGGAGAGGATGGAGGGGCTTTGGGGGCCTTGGGGGAGGTCCTGGTACCTGAGGAGAGGTGGGACCTGCCCACAGGGCTGCCTCTGGCGGGGACAGGCAGCATGACCCAGGCTCTGTCCCCCAGATCGGCTCCTACTTCGGGGCCTCCCTCTGCTCCGTGGATGTGGACGGTGATGGCAACACTGACCTGATCCTCATCGGGGCCCCCCATTACTACGAGCAGACCCGAGGGGGCCAGGTGTCCGTGTGTCCCTTGCCCAGGGGTGTGAGTGGCTGATGGGACCTGGGCTGAGTGGGGTCCGGTGTGGGTGGAGGGGTCGCCTGGGTCGGGGTCTGACACTGCTTGTATTCAGCAGAGGGTGCAGTGGCAGTGTGAAGCTGTTCTCTGTGGGGAGCAGGGCCACCCCTGGGGCCGCTTTGGGGCAGCCCTGACAGTGTTGGGGGACGTGAATGGGGACAAGCTGTCGGACGTGGCCATTGGGGCCCCGGGAGAGCAGGAGAACCGGGGTGCTGTCTACCTGTTTCACGGAGCCTCAGAATCCAGCATCAGCCCCTCCCACAGCCAGGTGAGGCCCCTGTGTTCAGCCTCTTCCAGTCCCAGCTCTTTCCCATGTCCTGAGTTCACTGAACGCAGCCTCCTGTCTCTGTCACCATTCCCTTCCTTGTTTCAGTGGTTCATCAGCTAAGCACACGTCATCTCTCTTCTCTCCTCTGTTCTGGAAAGCCTTCCATCTGTGTGGGCAGCTTAATGGTTAGGAGAGCAGGCTTTGAGGTCAGAGGTCAGTTCAAATCCCTGGCCTGGCCAGCCATCCTGAGCTGTGTGGCCTTAGGCAGGTGACGGACAGCCTTGGTCAGCCTTAGTTTCTTTCTATAAAATGCAGAAATGATAAAACCAACTCCTTAGTCTTCTTGTAGAAACAACAGAGAGTGCTAAGGCAATCACCACTGCACTCACTGAAGGTTCACGAGTGACCTGACCAGTGATGAATACACAAATATATTCTACGCCTATTATTATGCTCTTACTTCCTCACCAACCTTTACTCTCATGACGGGTCGGACCCAAAGAGCCCCCTTCTCTGTTTGGGGAGCCCAAGGTCCTCACCCTGTTTGCTTTCTGTCTTTTTTTTTTTTTTTTTGAGACAGTCTCACTCTGTCGCCCAGGCTGGAGTGCAGTGGCGTAATCTTGGCTCACTGCAACCTCTGCCTCCTGGGTTCAAGCAATTCTCCTGCCTCAGCCTCCCGAGTGGCTGAGATTACAGGTGTGGGCCACCACACCTGGCTAATTTTTGTATTTTTAGTAGAGATGGGGTTTCACCACGTTGGTCAGGCTGATCTGCTCGCCTCAGCCTCCCGAAGTGCTGGGATTACAAGCGTGAGCCACCCGGCCTATTTGCTTTCAATTTCTATCCCCACATCCACATCTCTCCTTTCCAATTTCTCTCTTCAGATCCTCTTTCACCACAATCTCTTTTCCAAATCTCTCTTCTCAAACTTTTCACATCGCCTCCCTTTGACTTCCGCCTCTCCCATCTCTCTGGCCAGCGGGTCGCTGGAAAGATGAGCAAATGGAAGCACAGAAAGATTGAGTCCTTGCCCACGGCCTCGTGGTTCATACGTGGAGGAGTCAGAACTGGAACTAGAGACTGATTGAATGAATGACACTTGGGTCACCAGGACACCCTTCTGATCTCCACTCCTATATCTGTTTCTTAGCAATCATCTCCCGACTCCTACCTTCTCTTTTCAGGCTCTTCTTGGTGACATCTGTTCACAACTCACCCCTTCTCTCCCTTTCCCACGGTCCTACCTCCATATTCCCCTTGTTACTTATTTCCAACTTCTTCCCCCACCTTCCAGCCTGATTCACACTTTTCTCTTCTGGCCAGCGGATCGCCGGCTCCCAACTCTCCCCCAGGCTGCAGTATTTTGGGCAGGCGCTGAGCGGGGGTCAGGACCTCACCCAGGACGGACTGATGGACCTGGCCGTGGGGGCCCGGGGCCAGGTGCTCCTACTCAGGTAGCAACTCCCCAACATCCTGCCCTCCCGTGCTGTGTCTGATTCACTGGTGCTGGTCCCCCCTGCCTTGTTATCTTCCCAGAGGCCAGTGTTCTGTCCTCCCCACTACCCTGCCCCTCAGGAGTCTGCCAGTGCTGAAAGTGGGGGTGACCATGAGATTCAGCCCCGGAGAGGTGGCCAAGTCTGTGTACTGGTGCTGGGAAGAGGGGCCCAGTGCCCTGGAAGCTGGGGACGCCACCATCTGTCTCACCATCCAGAAAAGCTCACTGGACCAACTAGGTGTGTTTCCCCCATAAAGGTGCCCCGGCCCCTCATCCCATTAGGGGCCCCAATGCCATCCTGAGGATGGGATGGGCCCAGGAACCAATCTCACCTCCACATCCACTCAACACCTGTGCCAGAAACCTGGCTCATTCTCTCCCCTCTTCCTCACACCTGGGCCTGTGGGTTCTGTCTCCAGGGTTAACCTGAAGTCCACCCAGTTTTCTCCTGGGCCCCAGCCGCTGCCTTCCCCCAGCCCCTGATTCCCTTCCACCTACACCAAAGTCATGACATGAAGCAGTTACCATATCCCTTCTTGTACCCTCCCACCCATTTTCCACCGAGGAACTAGAGTCGACTGGTCCTAAAATGTAAATCTGGGTTCCTCACTCCCCTGAGTAACCCCCGCTTGCATTTACAAAGACCCCAGTCCTTCCCTCCAATGCCCTCTCTGACTTGGCCTCCTGGCCTCTCTGGCCTCACGGCATCCCACTCTTCCTTACTAGGCACGCTTTTTGCAAATGCGCCAGCTTCGCTCTCCCTTCCAGTCTTAGGCCCTGTCTCCACGGTCCCAGACGTTCTCCCCACTCCTCACCTGGTTCCTGCTCATTCTCTGGGTGGCTGCTTAGCCATGGTCCATCTGGGATGGCAGCCTGGCCAGGTCCAGCGAGCATGCTATCCTTAGAACCACAGGAGAGCCTCCCCTTGCACTGATCACGCTGTGACATCACGGCCCATGTGCTTGGTTTCTCTCTTAGATTGTGAGCTTCGTGAGAGTGGGGCCATATCCATCTAGCTAGCTAATCTATCATCTATCTACCAAATCTATCATCTATCTATTATCTATTAATCTAATCTATCACCTATCTAATCTATCATCTATCTACCCATCTATCACCTATTATCTATCATCTATCTATCTGATCTATCACCTATCTAATCTCTCATCTACCAAATCTATCATCTATTATCTATCATCTATCACCTGTTTAATCTATCATCTATCTATTATCTAGCCATCCATCCATCCATCCATCCATCCATCCATCCATCCATCCATCATCCATCTGTCCATTTATCTTCTCCACATGTATCCCCAGCACGTGGTACAGTTCATGGCCTGTAAAAGTGTCCGGCAAACACGTATTGTATGAACAAATAAATGAAAACAGAGCATTCTAGGTTATTTCTGCCTTTTCATTTTCCATTCTCCCCTGCACTTCAGGTGACGTCCAAAGCTCTGTCAGGTTTGATCTGGCACTGGACCCAGGCCGTCTGACTTCTCGTGCCATTTTCGATGAAACCAAGAACCCGACTTTGACTCGAAGAAAAACCCTGGGACTGGGGGTTCACTGTGAAACCCTGAAGCTGCTTTTGAAAGTGAGGACTTCGGGTTCTGAGAAGGGGGAGGGAGGAGGAGCCCAAGGGTGGCCTGGAGCACCCCCGTTCTCTGCTGAGCGAGGTGGGAAGGGTTAGGATGTTGGGGCTGGAGAGAGGAAAGCTGGGGCAGGAGAACCTGGCTCCACCTCTTGGAGGGGCACTGTCAGGGCAGTGGGGAGTGGATGCAGTGCAGGAGGACTTGTGGTGGAGCGCAGAGGACTGCAGGTTCTTGAAAGCCTGTTCTCCCTCAGGATTGTGTGGAGGACGTGCTGAGCCCCATCATTCTGCACCTCAACTTCTCGCTGGTGAGAGAGCCCATCTCCTCCCCACAGAACCTGCGCCCTGTGCTGGCCATGGGCTCACAAGACCTCTTCACTGCTTCTGTGAGTTTTCCAATGAAGTCCCAGGGATGTCCTGACTTCATCTTGTCTCCATGCACTTAAGAATCCACTGTAGCTCCCAATCACCCAACCACATCCAGCCCAGAAACCTGACTCCAGTCTCTCCCCTCCTCCTCACACCCAGGCCTGTGGGTTCTGTCTCCAGGACTGACCTGAAGTCCACCCCATTCTCCTCCTGGTCCCAGCTGCTGCTTCCCCCAGCCCCTCGATTCTCTCCTCCCTACACCAGAGTCAACACAAAGTGGTTCCCATATCTATTCCTGTACCCTCCCACCCATCTTCCATAGAGGAGCTAGAGTCAACTGGCCCTAAAATGCAAATCTAGGCTTTTCAATCCCCTGCGTAATCCCCCTTGCATTTACAAAGACCCCGGTCCTTCCCTCTGATGTCCTCTCTGACTTGGCCTCCTGGCCTCTCTGGCTTCACAGCATCCCACTCCCCCTTACTAGGCATGCTTTTGGTAAATGCACCAGCCTTGCTCTCCCTTCTGGTCTTAGGCCCTGCTTCCACCTCACATCCCAGGCGGTTCCCACTTTTCCCTAGCACAGTGTCTCTTGTTCATTCCCATATCCCTCCCAAGTTTCCTCATTCCTACCTCTGTGCCTTTGTTCCTTTCTCGCCCCTCATTTGGAAAACACTGCCTTCTGCCTTCTCTTCCCCTCTCCCCACGAAGCTCCAGCCTCACCTCCCTCTCTTCTGAAGGCCACACTCAGCAGCTGCCGCTCCTTCTCTGGTCCCTGTTACGCCAAGGTGGTGCCACAGCAGGTATCACACAGCTGTTATAACCATCTGCATCTACATTTGAGGCTGTCTTGGGACTGTAGTTTCCTTGAGCATAGGAACCATGTTGAATTTGCCTGTCGTTTCCACCTTCCCTCAGCCCTCACCCAACCCAGAACCTGCACAATTATTGGCACTTAATAATGTTTGTGGAATAATTGTTCCAGGATAAGCTGGATGTGACTCAACTGAACTTTCTGTCCCTTGAAGCCAAGGATCTTGTCCTATCTTTCTTTTATATGCCAACCTCCAAACCGCACCTGCGCCCCTTGTTGGTGTCCAGCAAAGTGCTGGGGGCAGTGGCTTAGTAATGCTCAATGTTGGTGGGTGCTTCTAAGGAGGGTCTTGGAGAAAGACTAAGACGTCAGATGGGAACAGAATGTACTGTTTTGCTGCAGCTCCCCTTTGAGAAGAACTGTGGGCAAGATGGCCTCTGTGAAGGGGACCTGGGTGTCACCCTCAGCTTCTCAGGGTGAGCTGTAACTCCTTTCATATCCAGACACTCGGGCTTCCGAGTCCCCCATCCTCCTGGGATGCTTGCGCTGCTCTCTGGCTCTCTTTCTAACAAAAGTGATGTTGACTGGGATGTTATTGGCCCAGAGTTTCCAGGGCTGCCCTGCCTTTCCCAGTTCCCGTCTATTTCCAGTGGAGTCCCACTCCCAGCCTTTCCGTTCAGTGGAGTTCCACTCCCAGTCCTTTCCCTTCAGCCTGAAGATCCTGACCGTGGGGAGCTCCCTGGAGCTCAATGTGATTGTGACTGTGTGGAATGCGGGCGAGGATTCCTATGGAACTGTGGTCAGCCTCTACTACCCAGCAGGGCTGTCCCACCGACGGGTGTTGGGAGCCCAGGTAACAACTGCTGTAGGCTCTAGTGGGAGGGGGCCTCTCCCCTGCCCTGTAGCCCTGGGAGTTACAGAGTGTTCTTCAAAATTCTTCTGTGATGATATGTACTCTCTCTCTCTCTCTCTGTCTGTCTCTCTCTCACACACACACACACACACACACACAGAGAATGAGAAAGTACATAAAGCATATATACAGTTTAATGAATAATATTAAACAAACCATAGAGTTAACATCCAGGTCAAGAAATAAATCGCTGCTAGTATCCCCAGAACCCCCTCCCCGTGCACCTTTCCCTATCACAGCTCCATCCTCTCCCCAAAGGTCATCACTATTCTGACTTTGTGGTCATCACTTCCTTGTATTTCTCCCTCTCTCCCTCCGTCCCTCCCTTCCTCCCTCTCTTGTTTTTGTTTGTTGTTGTTGTTTGTTTGTTTTGTTTTTTTTTGAGAAGGAGTCTTACTCTGTCACCCAGGCTGGAGTGCAGTGGCACAACCACCACTCACTGCTGCAGCCTAGACCTGCTGGGCTCAAGCAATTCTCCCACCTCCGCCTTCTGAGTAGCTGGGACTACAGGTGCATACCACTACGCCCAGCTAATTTTTCATTTATTTACTTTTTATTTTTATTTCTTTTAGAGACAGGGTCTCACCATGCTGCCCAGGCTGGTCTCAAACTGCTGGGCTCAAGCAGTCCTCCCGCCTCAGCCTCCCAAAGTTCTGAGATTACAGGCGTGAGCCACCGCACCTGACCATGTTTTTTCTGTGTGTGGGCTTGTTTAAGAAACACTTCCAGGTTATGAAAATAGCCCCCTATATTATCTTCCAAAAGCTTCATGGTTTTGCTTTTTCACATTTAAGTCTTTAATTCAGTTGGAATTTATTTTAATTTATGGAGTGGGGTAGGGATCCAATTTATTTTTCTTCTTTCTTCTTTCTCCTCTTCTTCCTCTTGTTCTTTCTTTACTTTACTTTTTTTTGTTTGTTTGTTTGGGTCCATTTTCCTGGCATTGATGGAAATTGATTGAAAAGTCTGTCCTTGGCTGGGTGAGGTGGCTCGCACCTGTAATTCCAGCACTTTGGGAGGCCAAGGCTGGTGGATCACCTGAGGTCAGGAGTTTGACACCAGCCTGGCCAACATGGTGAAACCCCATCTCTACTAAAAATACAAAAATATTAGCCAGGCATGGCAGCAGGCACCTGTAATCCCAACTACTTGAGAGGCTGAGGCAGGAGAATTGCTTGAACCTGGGAGGTGGAGGTTGCAGTGGACCATGCACTCCATTGCACTCCAGCCTGGGTGACAAGAGTGAGAATCCGTCTCAAAAAAAAAAGAAAAGTCTGTCCTTTTCCCTACTGCTCTGCAGTGTCACCATTGCTGTGTATCAAGCCCACACATGCATGCGGGTAACTTTTTAAAATTCATTCTCCTCTCCTAGAAGCAGCCCCATCAGCGTGCCCTGCGCCTGGCATGTGAGACAGTGCCCACTGAGGACGAGGGCCTGAGGAGCAGCCGCTGCAGCATCAACCACCCCATCTTCCATGAGGGCTCTAACGTCAGTGCTTCCCCCGAAATCCCCATCACTGTCCTCCCTTGTCCCAATCCGTCCCTCACTCCACCATGCCCTTCCTTTTATCCCCATTCTTTCCTTCTCCTTCCCTCAGGGCACCTTCATAGTCACATTCGATGTCTCCTACAAGGCCACCCTGGGAGACAGGATGCTTATGAGGGCCAGTGCAAGCAGGTGGGTACAGGCCAGGGTGCCCCCACCCTCCATCTCATGCCCCGGCTAGAGACCCCTCTCCTGGATTCCTTCCCATTGGTCCCCCCTTTCTTTCTCTAGCGAGAACAATAAGGCTTCAAGCAGCAAGGCCACCTTCCAGCTGGAGCTCCCGGTGAAGTACGCAGTCCACACTGTGATCAGCAGGTGCCCAGTCCCTGGCCCTCCCCGTGGACCTCTGGCCTTCCTCTACGCCTGGTACTCCCTCTGAGTCCCAGCTTGCTCTTCCAATGATGCACATCTAAGCTCTCCTGTTTTGGGATGCCTTTGTGGGTGAACAGCCATATATAATAACGTTTATGCTGCATAAACATGTTTCTGGGCTGGACGTGGTAGCTCACGCCTGTAATCCCAGCACTTTGGGAGGCTGAGGCAGGTGGTTCAACTGAGGTCAGGAGTTCGAGACCAGTTTGGCCATCACGGTGAAACTCCATCTCTACTAAAAATACATAATTAATTAGTTGGGCATGGTGGCGCGTGCCTGTAATTCCAGCTACTCCGGAGACTGAGGCAGGAGAATCACTTGAATCCGGGTGGCGGAGGTTGCAGTGAGCAGAGATCATGCCACTGCACTCCAGCCTGGGTGACAGAGTGAGCCTTGGTAAAAAAAAAAAAAAAAAAAAATTAGCTGGACATAGTGGCGCATGCCTGTAATCCCAGCTACTCAGGAGGCTGAGGCCAGAGAATCTCTTGAACCCAGCAGGTGGAGGTTGCAGTGAGCTGAGATCACGCCACTGCACTCCAGCCTGGGCAACAGAGCAAGATTCTGTCTCAAAAAAAAAAAAAAAAAAAAAAAAAAGTGTTTTTGTCAACAATGGACCCACATTTACTATGGATGGTCTCCTAAAATTATAATGGAGTTGAAAAATCTCCTAGGTATGCCATAACAGTTGTAACATTGTAGTGCAACTCGTTGCCTTTTTATGTCTAGATACACAAATACTTTCCATTGTGTTACAACTGCCTACAATATCCAGTACAGTAACATGCTGCACAGGTTTGTAGCCCAGGAGCAATAGGCTACACCATATCACCTAGCTGTGCAGTAGGCTCTACCATCTAGGTTTCCATAAGTGTAACCTATGATGTTTGCACAAGGATGAAATTGCCTAAGGCTAGGCGCAGTGGCTCAAACCTGTAATCCCAGCACTTTGGGAAGCTGAGGCAGGTGGATCACCTGAGGTCAGGAGTTCAAGACCAACCTAGCCAACATGGTGAAACCTTGTCTCTACTAAAAATGCAAACATTAGCCCAGTGCAGTGGCACATGCCTGTAATCCCAGCTACTGGGGAGGCTGAGGCAAAAGAATCGCTTGAACTTGGGAGGCAGAGATTGCAGTAAGCTGAGATCGTGCCGCTGTACTCCAGCTCGGGGGTAACACAGGAAGACTGTGTTTCAAAAAAAAAAAAAAGAAAAAAAAGAAAAGAAAAAGAAAAAGAAAAAGAAATTGCCTTACGATTAATTTCTCGGAATGTATCCTTGGTGTATTTGTACCCTAATAATATATACCATAGCTCTTGCTGCTTCTCTCAAACCGACTTGCTGGTGGGACACACACACTTTGCCACGGCTGTGCCTTTCTTTTCCCCCTCTGCCTCCAAAAGGAAGGCTACCTTTTTTAACATGAAACACATCCTGTCCTTTGTATTAAATGTGAATGTGCTGAAGCAAAGCTGCTAGATGGAGATCAAGACTTTTCTGAGCACCCTGAATTGGGGAGCTTGTGCCCAACAGGATATGGTCTGTCACCACACAGCAGAAAGGAAAGGTCGAGTTTCTATAAAACTCAGAGTGGGGCAGAGGTGTGAGAAACTGTTGGGAAGGTCTCTAAGAGCCCGGCCGAGGCAGCGCAGGAAGGGCAAGTGTAGGGCTGAAGGCAAGAGGGCATTTCAGGTGGGTACAGGCGCAGAGGCAGGCCAGACTGGATGCAGAGCAAGGCATCCCACACACTGGGCTGAAAGCCTATAACATTGCTGTGGGACAGAGTTTGCTGCTATTGCTTTTTTTTTTTTTTTTTTTTTTTTTTTTTTGAGACAGTCTCGCTCTGTCACCCAGGCTGGAGTTCATTGGTGCAATCTGGGCTCACCACAACCTCCACCTCCCAGGTTCAAGCGATTCTCCTGCCTCAGCCTCCCAAGTAGCTGGGATTACAGGCATGCACCACCACGCCTGGCTAATTTTGTATTTTTAGTAGAGACAGGGTTTCTCCACATTGGTCAGGCTGGTCTCGAACTCCCGACCTCAGGTGATCTGCCCGCCATGGCCTCCCAAAGTGCTGGGATTACAGGTGTGAGCCACCACACCTGGCTGCTGTTGCTTCTGATGTATTAAGTTGTTAGGGGAAGGAACGAGGGAGATCAAGCAGTGTCATTGTCTTTTCAAGTCACACGTACGTTTCCTTTTCTATCCACAGGGAAATACTTACAATAAGAGCTTACAGTTATATGTACCCATGCCAGGCATCGTTGTATGTTGCTGTTGTTTTAAGGTGGTTTTCTTGCATCATCTTAAGTACTTTATATGTATTTACATTTATTTAATCCTCACAATAATTATATTGTTACCCCGATTTTCATCAACAAAGACATCAATAAGTGAAATACTTTGTTCCTGTCAATCTCCAAGTGAGCAGCAGAACCAGGAATCAGACCCAGACAGTTTGGCTGCAGAGCCCATGCCTATGCCATATATGGCATGCCTCTCCAAGCACTGGGGAAAGCTGAGTGGTTTACTTCGATCTGAAAACAGGCTTAGGCTGCACATGGTGGCTCATGCCTGTAATTCCAGCACTTTAGGAGGCCGAGTGCTGGGATTACGGGCATGGATGGGAGGATGGCTTGAACCCAGGAGTTCAAGACCAGCCTGGGCAACATACCGAGACTCCATCTCTACCCAAAAAAAATTTAAAATGAAAATAAAATAAAATTTTAAAAATGAAAAGAGGCTTAGAACTAGATTTTAAGGTGAGAAAACAGAAGCACAGAGAGAAGGGTTTCGGGTGGGAGGCACAGAGGAAAACCGGCATACTTAGGGAAAAATAAACCCCTAAGATTTACGGAGGACTCCCTGTGTGCTGGGCACTACCAAGCCCTGGTCACAACTCTACTACAGGGAGGTGCTATGGTTCGCATCCCCATTTTAAAGAGTGAAAAACTACAGGTTCCAGAGACGTGAAGCGGCTTGCCTCAGTGACTCAGGTAGGAAGTGGTCGACCTGAGATGTGAACCCAGGTAGTTTGACACTGGAGTCCGTGTTTTTAGTCATCAGGCTGATGGGGGGTGGACTGCTGGAGCAGTTTCTGTGCGGCTGGTCTGGCTGCTGCGTGCGAGGTGCAGGCCCCTCTGCTGCTCTGCTTACTTTTGCTTTTTGTTTGTTTGTTTTGAGACAGGGTCTCACTCTGTTGCCCAGGCTGGAGGGGAGTGGTGTGAACGTAGCTCACTGCAGCCTCGACCTCCCAGGCTCAAGCAATCCTCCTGCTTCAGCCTCCTGAGTAGCTGGGACCACAGGCGTGTGCCACCACGTGCAGCTAATGTTTGTAATTTTTTTTTGCAGAAATGAGGTCTCTCTATGTTGCCCAGGCCAGTCTTGAACTCCTGAGCTCAAGCGATCCTCCTGCCTTAGCCTCTCTAAGTGTTGGGATTACAGGCGTGAGCCACCTCGCCTGGCCAGCTTGCTCCTTATTACTAAAACCAGGGAGTATGGCTTAACTTGAACCCCCAGTGCCAACCACACAGCCTGTGTTTGCTGAAGGAAGTCTGGGTGGAAAGACCCCACCTGCCTTCTGGAACACTGATGTCCCTTCCATAGGCTTGTGCACAGGCACCATCTTCCTTCACGTTTACTCATCTGCCCCAGGACAGCCGAATCTGTTTTCTTCATTCCCACCATGAAGGGGCCCTCACTCCATGTCTTCCTGAGTGATCCAGCTCTCCTTCCTAGAGTCCCCTTAGGCTAACTTGTTCTGCTGCAATCTCTGTAAGCATTACCAGAGGCCAACCACTACCTATTAGAGAAAGCAATGCAAACGCCTTTGCCCCATGTAGGAGAGGTGAGGTTTAAGTTGGGTTTTTAAGTGTAAATTTCCAAAATGGGAGATAGTAAGAACATTCCAAGGAGAAGAGCTTGAGCAAACTCATGAGACTATGAAAGAGCCAGAGGTGTACAGGGCAGAGCTAGTGGATCTGGGTGATGGGGGCAAGGGACATCGGAGGGAGGGGAGCTGAAGCCGAGGCAGCAAAGGTTATGTGGGACCATCTTTTATTTGTTTATTTTGAATAGGGACGGGGTCTCACTATGTTGCCCCAGCTGGTCTGGAACTCCTGGGCTCAAGCGATCCTCCTGCCCCAGACTCCCAAAGTTCTGGGATAACAGGCATGAGCCACTGCACCCAGCCAAATAATGTCCGTTATTATTTCCCTGAGAAATGTGCCTGGCCAAACAGAGCTCTCTGCAGTAGGACAGGGCACAACTGGGGACAGTTTCAGGGCTGTTTTTCACCCACAGGCTCTCTCTCCAGACAGGAAGAATCCACCAAGTACTTCAACTTTACAACCTCTGATGAGAAGAAAATGAAAGAGGCTGAGCATCGATACCGCGTGAGAGTCTAGGGAGTATCCCTGTCTGCCTTCCACAGTGTGGATAAAGTTGGAAGTTGGCGGAGAAGATGGAGAGGAGCTTGGGGTAGGGCCAGGAGGGAAGTGGCATTTGGGAGGCTCCAGAGACCACAATAGCACTCTGCCTTGATTTCCTGCAGGTGAATAACCTCAGCCAGCGAGATCTGTCCATCAGCATTAACTTCTGGGTTCCTGTCCTGCTGAACGGGGTGGCCGTGTGGGATGTGGTCGTGGAGGCCCCATCCCAGGTATCTGCCTGCCTCTCCTCTTTCTTCAGACTGGCATCCCACAGCACGGCACTGCCTCTTACCAGGGACATGTTGCTCATTCTGTGGCTAACTGCTTCTCTCTCTCCCCAGAGTCTCCCCTGTGTATCAGAGAGAAAACCTCCCCAGCATTCTGACTTCCTGACCCAGATTTCAAGAAGTCCCGTGCTGGTAAGAAAGTCCCTGAACCCCCACCGCAAGAGCAGCCCCCACCAGGGATACCGAGAAATGTACCGCTAGGCCGCAGAGTTCCGTGCATGTCCTGTAACTGTTCATCTGTTCCCCACCCCAAACCTGACCATATTTTTACCTATGGTTCCCTCCTCAGTGAAGAACCCCTCAGCTTCACCCCTCTTCTGCCCCCAGGACTGCTCCATTGCTGGCTGCCTGCGGTTCCGCTGTGACATCCCCTCCTTCAGCGTCCAGGAGCAGCTGGATTTCACCCTGAAGGGCAACCTCAGTTTCGGCTGGGTCCGCCAGGTGTGTGAGGGCAGTGGCAGAGCACCTGCCCCGGACTCAGGCAGGACGTGGCATGTCTGTGCCCATCTGCAAGCCAGGGCATCCCTGGAGCTCTAAGCCTCCACCAGAGCCAGTTCCACAGGCTTCCCCCAACCCCTTTGCAGACATCGCAGAAGAAGGTGTCGGTTGTGAGTGTGGCTGAAATTACGTTCGACACATCCGTGTACTCCCAGCTTCCAGGACAGGAGGCATTTATGAGAACTCAGGTAGAGACCATGTTGGGGGCAGCGACCAGGCTGGAAAGAGGGCCCCTAGGGCTACATCCGCGGTGCTGGGTGGGGGTTTGCAAGCCTTGGGGGAGGAGGGTGAAGGTCTCTGGGCAAGACAGCTGTCTCTCAGGGCACGGGTGCTGCTGCGTCTCAACCCTTAGAGCAGAGCCTCAGGGAGGAGGGGAGGGAGTTAAAGGTTGGGGAACCTGGGAGGCATCCGGGATGGCAGGAGGCCAGACGCTCTCTGATCTCCGAATCAGATGGAGATGGTGCTAGAAGAATACGAGGTCTACAACGCCATTCCCATCATCATGGGCAGCTCTGTGGGGGCTCTGCTACTGCTGGCGCTCATCACAGCCACACTGTACAAGGCAAGTGTTTTATCCCACTCTTTTTTTTTTTTTTTTTTTGAGACAGAGTTTTCACTCTTGTTGCCCAGGCTGGAGTGCAATGGTGTGATCTTGGCTCACTGCAATCTCACCTCCGGTTCGATTTCCTGTCAGCTCCGAGTAGTCTTTTTTTTTTGAGACAGAGTTTTCACTCTTGTTGCCCAGGCTGGAGTGCAATGGTGTGATCTTGGCTCACTGCAATCTCCACCTCCCGGGTTCAAGTGATTCTCCTGCCTCAGCCTCCCGAGTAGCTGGGATTACAGGTGGCCTGCACCATGCCTGGCTAGTTTTTTGTATTTTTAGTAGAGATGCAGTTTCACCATGTTGGCCAGGCTGGTCTCAAACTCCTGACCTCAGGTGATCCGCCTGCCTCGGCCTCCCAAAGTTCTGGGATTACAGGCATGAGTCACCACATCCGGCCTTATCCCACTCTTGACACCACCAGCATCCAACCCAAGCCCTTCTACAGACTGGGTGGTATAGTGAGAACTCAGACTGTGGAGGCAGGCAGGCCTGGACACACATTTTGGTTCTATCATGTACTCACTGTTTAATGTTAGGCAAGTTGCTCCACCTCTCTGAGCGTGTTTCTCTCTCTCTCTTTTTTTTTTTCTTCTTTTTTCTTTTGAGGTGGAGTCTCACTCAGTTGCTCAGACTGGAGTGCAGTGGCACAGTCTCAGCTCACTGCAACCTCCACCCCCCAGGTTCAAAAGATTCTCATGCCTCAGCTTCCCAAGTAGCTAGGACTATAGGCACACGCCACCACACCTGGCTAATTTTTGTATTTTTAGTAGAGACAGGGTTTCACCATGTTGGCCAGATTGGTCTTGAACTCCTGACCTCATGTGATCTGCCCACCTCAGCCTCCCCAAGTGCCGGGTTTACAGGCGTGAGCCACTGTGCCCCGCCGTTTCTCATTTTTGAAATGATAATAATGCTTATATCACAGAGTGGCTGAAGTGAGAGAGAAATGAGGCCAGGGCATGTGCACAGATCTGCCTGGATCTATGCTGTCCTGCCACGGGTTGTGTGTGTACCCACTGTGCTTGGGGCCAGCAGATGCTCAATATATGATAGCTGTTGTTCACATAAAGGTTCTCGCACACAAATGTAAGTTAGCTTAGTTGTTGCCTCCTCTCCTCTCTCAGCTTCTTCTTATTCCCAATTTTCTTCCCTGCCCTCTTACCCAGATTTTCTTTCTTTCTTTTTTTTTCTTTTTCTTTTCTTTTTTTTCTCTTCTCCTTTCTTCTTCTTTTATATGGAGCCTTGCTCTGTCGCCCAGGCTGGAGTGCAGTGGCATGATCTCGGCTCACTGCAACCTCCGTTTCCCGGGTTCAAGCGATTCTCTTGCCTCAGCCTCCTGAGTACCTGGGATTATAGGCGCACCACCATGCCCAGCTAATTTTTGTATTTTTAGTAGAGACAGGGTTTCACCAGGTTGGCCAGGCTGGTCTCCAGCTCCTGACCTCAAGTGACCCACCTTCCTCAGCTTCCCAAAGTGCTGGGAATTAGAGGTGTGAGCCACCGCACCCGGCCTTACCCAGCTTTTCTCACTTATTTCCCCTGATAGCTTGGCTTCTTCAAACGCCACTACAAGGAAATGCTGGAGGACAAGCTTGAAGAAACTGCCACATTCAGCGGGGAAGGTTTCAGCTGTGGGTCCCCAAATGTGCCTTTGTCCTAATAATCCACTTTCCTGTTTATCTCTACCCCCGTGGGCTGGTCTTGCTTGCAACCATAAATCAACTTACATGGAAACAACTTCTGCATAGATCTGCACTGGCCTGAGCAACCTACCAGATGCTAAGCACCTTCCGAGAGAGGTAGAGATTGTAATATTTTTGCATATCTGTCCACCTTTTTTAGTGATGACCCACTTTTTACAGAAACAGGCATGGTGCCAGCATAAATTTTCACGTGCATAAGAATTGTCACGCGAAACGAGGATGTTTATAGCACACTTTCCTTGCATGGAAGAGCTATAACCCAGGGACCTGAGTGCCTCTCTGGCAATAGTTGGGGGAACCTGTTTGTGGGCATTGAAAAAGTTTTCTCACTTTCTATGGTGATGGGAGCCTGAGGTCATCTTTTCTTGATGGGGCTGAGAGGCGTCTCAGGGGAGAGTCAAAGAGTGTGTGTGTGTGTGTGCGTGTGCATGCACGTGCACGCAGGATGCATTGGCCGTGGGTTTCTGCACACACTTCAGGTTCCTCCGTAATGGTAAGTGGGCAGGCTGTCCTAGGAGGTGAAGAAATGTCCAGAGCTCATCTGAACTCCTGTCCCCCTTGAATGGGGTATTCAGAAGCCAGGAAAGCCAGGCTTGGAGCATGTGATTTCCCAAATAGAAGACCCATTAAGAAAGATTATAGAGAATGACCAAAAGATTCCAAATCCAGCATTAGGTCCCGAGGCCTCACACACAGGACTGTGGAGCCTCCGTCTGAAATCCAGATAGCTGGGGTTCACAGACACCAGCGGCTCAGGTGTCAGGCAAGAAGTGGGACTTCAGGATCTGCAGCCCTGGGCTCCCGGGGGGGCTCTGCAAGCTGCCTGAACTTCGACAAGTCATTTAATTCCCGAGAATCTCAGGTCCTCCTCTGGAGAAGGGGAACTAAAATTATACCCTACTCCCAGCGTTACTGTGAGGATTCAGTGTATGAGGAAGCCCATTACAGCCTACAGCCCTAATTTTTAATAGGTGTGCGTGAGACAGAGGCCTCATTATTACGAGGTGAGAGTGAGCTGGGATCGCCTACCTGTGCGTGGAGGAGGCTTCCTCAAGCACCCCAGTATCAGCCATGTGGGAAAAGCACGTGGAGCGCCCACCGCGCAAGGCGCATGCACGGAGCAGGCGCCTCCGGGTGCACTCCCAGTGGCCCCGCCCTCCCCATAGAGCCTCAGACACGAAGCTTCACACCTTTATTGCGCCCGGGGGCGTCCGGGGCCTCAGGGGTGTTCGTAGCCAGTGGGCAGAGGGTTGACGTGGCTGTTGTGGAACAGAGTGTGGTTACCGTCCCCCCAGGGGAAGGGCTGTGGAGAGAGCGGAGGAGGGAGAGCGCGTGAGCGCCGTGAGTCCGGAGTCCGCGCCTCCCCCGCCACGCGCCCCACGCTCCCCACGCTCCCCATGCACCCCGCAGCACCCCCGGGCCGCCCGCGCGCCCGTCCCGCGTACCTTGGTGCGGATGCGGAGGTGCTGGTAGGAATGGAACTCCGGGCGCGGGCGGTGGCCTGAGTGGAGATAGGAGTTGAAGGTGCAGAGGGCCACGCTGGGCAGCGCCAGCACGAAGGAGAGCAGGCGCCAGGTGCGAGCTGCGGATGGAGAGGGGTGAGCGCGCAGGGCCTGGGGCGGCGGGCCCGGGAACAAGTGGGCAGGGTAGGGGATCCCCGGGATCCGCCCGCTCCCCATTCACCTGCTGACCCTTCGTGGCCTCCTTTGGCAGCGCTGGCCAAGCCCCGGGTCAGGGGCCTCAGAGGCAGAGCCATGGCGGTGCGGGGAGCGGGGAACCAGCGCTGTCCTCGCTCCCTTTACCGTGGCCTGGGGTCCCCTCCCCTCTCTGGGCCAATCACCTGTTGAGTCTGGAGCACGAGCGGCTATTTTTAGAGGTTTCTATATTTACAATGGGTCCTGACTAGCTTGAGATCGTCTCCAGACAGCTGTTGTCCTGTGCCTCTTATTTTGGCAAAGGGGCATTTAAAGTACAATATGCCATTCTTTTTATATAGTTGCAGGGAAACTATTTTGTTCCCTATTCTATGCCTAGTGGCTGGCACACGGTTGGGCTTTAATAAATATTTGTAGAATGAATTAAGTGTCTTTTTGAGTCTGTTTTTTCAGCTGTAAAATGTATAATTCATACCTGAAAAGATTTTTTAAATAATGGAGGCGGGGGGATGTCACTATATTGTCCAAGCTGGTATCTTAGCTGTTGTGTCCAGACGTATCTCAGCTGTTGGTGGTGAAGGAGGTGAAGGCATGACTCAGGGTCAGTTTCTTCCTGGAATGCTGCATACTGTGACCACATTTTCTAAAGCAAAGATTGATTACAACATGTGATCTACTAAGTATAAATGTTTATGGGGGGCCTAGGGACAGTGTATTTGAAATTGGAATTGTCCTGGAAAAACTGTCCTGGTGTGGAACTCTTGAGCTCAGGTGATCCTCCCGCAGTGCTGGGATTACAGGCATGAGCCACCGCACCCTGCCCTTACATGATTTTTATGAAGTTTATGTAAGGTAGGAATGTGTCAACCTGGATTTTGTCAGGTAACAGTAGTTCAGTGTATGTATTAGTCACAGTTCTTTGCAAAGAACAGAACTCACTCTCACTAGTTTTAAAAGATAGGTAATTGAGAATCTTAGGTAGCTCACTATGTCTGGTATAGCCAGAGAGGCCTACAGTCTCCACAGTCAGAAACAAGTCTGACTTGTTTCTGATTGCACCAACTGGCAACCCCTAGGTGCCCCAGCTGCAGGAGGGGTTGGGAAACTGAGCTCTGGATTCTGCCTTAGGGAGGCAGGAATTGTAGGGAAAATCTCCAGGTCTAGGATGAGTATTCAAAAGGTTCCAGGCAGCCACAAGCCTGACAGGTGTCTACTGCAAAGTGCATTATTTCAATCTGAAAAATACGACTGCTTGGAGAAAGAAAGCCTACACAGGGCCGGTGTGAACCCTTTATCAAAGCAGGTCACGAGAAAGCCACAAGACCAGGCAGGGATGACATCTGCCTGTTCTGTCCTCAGCACCCGGCATGGGCCTTGGCATGAAGTAGGTGTTCTAAAAATATGTATGTAATGAATGCTTGAACCTTGTTACTTTGGTTAACCCTACAGCAATGCCTTTTCAGAATTACAATCCAATAGGAAGCTTCCAGCTTTCATCAAGGGCTGATGTACTAATATGAACTTAATATATAAAAGAAAAATGAATTATATAGACATATAATCTGAATTTAATATACAAAAGAAAAACGAGGAAGGTACACTTTCAAGAAGGGGCTCTATACCAGTTTCTTGTTGGTAATAAACCGAAGAGTAGGTTCCACCCAACTTTACCTGCTGCTGCTACTTTTTTGAAAAATAACCTCCTTGAGCAGTCAAATGTTATACAATGTTACAAAAATTATTCCTGAGCTCTCACTGAGCTATAACAGAATTCTTCCTACAGTTGTTTTCCCAACTGGACTTTGGCATTGTTGCAGAGAAGATGGGGCCCTATTCCAGTTAAAGATACCTGGCATCTCCCTCTACACATAGCGCCCTCCCTACATATATAAGATAATGGCTCCTGGAGAAAACAGATATGAAGACAGGTATTTTTACTTGAAAAAGTTCTAGAGGCCGGGCATGATGGCCCACGCTTGTAATCCCAGCACTTTGGGAGGCCGAGGCGGGCGGATCACTTGAGGTCAAGACTTCAAGACCTGCCTGGCCAACATGGTGAAACCCTGTCTCTACTAAAAATACAAAAATTAGCTGGGTGTGGTGACGTGTGCCTGTAGTCCCAGCTACTCGGGAGGCTGAGCAGGAGAATTGCATGATCTAAGGAGGTGGAGGTTGCAGTGCACCAAGATTGTGCCACTGCACTTCAGCCTGGGTGACAGAGTAAGACTGTCTCAAAAAAAAAAAAGGAAGGAAGGAAGGAAGAAAAGGTTCTGGCCCCTCAGAGTTTTGGTGGTTGTTGCCAAACAATTCCCTGGGAATTCCCATCCCTTTGTTCTCAGCTTGGGAGCTCCTATGGAGAGGTTTTCTTGCTGAGACATTGAGAATGCCCTGAGGAGGGCCACTCCTGTCCTGGGCTGCTCAGGTAGTCTGTGTTTTTCTGGGCCTGTCACCATCTTACCTGCCTCTCTAGAAGGTGTGCATAGCTGTCTCTTCCAGGCTGTGCACTCACCATTGTTTTTGTAAGTTCTCACTCACACAGTTCATTAACCTGGCTGCTGCCAACACTTTCAGTTTCTAGAGGTTTAATTTTTCCTCCACTTTAGGCAGAGGGAAGAACAAACTCACCAGGTGCTAAATCAACCCCGGAGGGCAGCATCTCAGCCTCTTTTCAGACATATCTCAGCTGTTGGTGGTGAAGGAGGTGAAGGCATGACTCAGGGTCAGTTTCTCTTGTGCCCTCTTCCTGGAATGCTGCATACTGTGACCACACTTTCTAAAGCAAAGACTGATTACAACATGTGATCTACTAAGTATAAATGTTTATGGGGGCCCTAGGGACAGCGTATTTGAAATTGAAATTGTCCTGGAAAAACAACTGTATGGTGATACAGGACATGGGTTAGCTAGAATGAACAGGTAGAGAGAGTTGGAGCTCAGACAGCATTGGGGTGGGGTCCAGTGGCAACAGGGGCATAGACGCTAAATAAACAGGGCTCTGAGCTCCCTCTGCACTTGGGAGGGGCCAGCAGCTATGTAATAGTGGATGTCTACTGTTTTGTGTCATATGACCAATATATCTATGCCTTTGTTTCTGATACTGAGACACACCCTCCTGCCCACCTTATTCTCAGTTCACAGTTCAAGTGGGATGAACTCCCTCCTCTAGCTCCAAGAAGGGCCACATGATCCAGGCCTAACCAATCAGAGCATTCTATTCTCCAGGCCACAATGATTGTTTGTTTGTTTGTTTGTTTGTTTTTTGAGACAGAGTCTCACTCTGTCCGCCAAGCTGGAGTGCAGTGGTGCAGTCTTGGCTCACTGCAACCCCTGCTACCTATGTTCAAGTGATTATTCTGCCTCAGCCAGCCTCCTGAGTTGCTGGGATTACAGGTGCACACCACCATGCTTGGCTACTTTTTTGTATTTTTAGTAGAGATGGGGTTTCACCATGTTGGCCAGGCTGGTCTTGAACTTCTGACCTCAAGTGATCTGCCTGCCTCGGCCTCCCAAAGTGCTAGTACTACAGGCATGAGCCACCCGAAAAAAGAGCCCACATTGCCAAGACAATTCTAAGCCAAAAGAACAAAACTGAAGGCATCATGCTACCTGACTTCAAACTATACTACAAGGCGACAGTAACCAAAACAGCATGGTACTGGTACTAAAACAGAGATATAGACCAATGGAACAGAACAGAGCCTTCAGAAATAATACCACGTATCTACAACCATCTGATCTTTGACAAACCTGACAAAAACAAGAAATGGGGAAAGGATTCCCTATTTAATAAATGGTGCTGGGAAAACTGGCTAGCCATATGTAGAAAGCTGAAACTGGATCCCTTCCTTACACCTTATATAAAAATTAATTCAAGATGGATTAGAGACTTAAATATTAGACCTAAAACCATAAAAACCCTAGAAGAAAACCTAGGCAATACCATTCAGGACATAGGCATGGGCAAGGACTTCATGTCTAAAACACCAAAAGAAATGGCAACAAAAGCCAAAATTGACAAATGGGATCTCATTAAACTAAAGAGTTTCTGCACAGCAAAAGAAACTACGATCAGAGTGAACAGGCAACCTACAGAATGGGAGAAAATTTTTGCAATCTACTCATCTGACAAAGGGCTAATATCCAGAACCTACAAAGAACTCAAACAAATTTACAAGAAAAAAACAACCCCATCAAAAAGTGGGTGAAGGATATGAACAGACACTTCTCAAAAGAAGACATTTATGCAGCCAACAGACACATGTAAAAAAGCTCATCACTACTCGCCATGAGAGAAATGCAAATCAAAACCACAATGAGATACCATCTCACACCAGTTAGAATGGCAATCGTTAAAAAGTCAGGAAACAACAGGTGCTGGAGAGGATGTGGAGAAATAGGAACACTTGTTACACTGTTGGTGGGACCATGAACTAGTTCAACCATTGTGGAAGACAGTGTGGCGATTCCTCAAGGATCTAGAACTAGAATTACCATTTCACCCAGCCATCCCATTACTGGGTATATACCCAAAGGATTATAAATCATGCTGCTATAAAGACACATGCACACGTATGTTTATTGCAGTGCTATTCACAATAGCAAAGACTTGGAACCAACCCAAATGTCCATCAATGATAGACTGGATTAAGAAAACATGGCACATATACACCATGGAATACTATGCAGCCATAAAAAAAGATGAGTTCATGTCCTTTGTGGGGACATGGATGAAGCTGGAAACCATCATTCTCAGCAAACTATCACAAGAACAGAAAACCAAACACTGCATGTTCTCACTCATAGGTGGGAATTGAACAATGAGAACACTTGGACACAGGAAGGAGAACATCACACACCGGGGCCTGTTGTGGGGTGGGGGATGGGGGAAGGATAGCATTAGGAGATATACCTAATGTAAATGACAAGTTAATGGGTGCAGCACACCAACATTGCACATGTATACATATGTAACAAACCTGCACGTTGTGCACATGTACCCTAGAACTTAAAAGTATAATAAAAAAATAAAAATAAATATTAATCACTAATATTAAGATAACACAATATTATTCTTGTCCACACCAAGAATATACCTTGTATATTATTATTACTTCACTAGTATACCTTTGCCTACTACCTACCTAAATCCTTTTGTTATTTTAGTTATTTTAGAGAGACAGGGTCTCACTCTGTCATCCATGCTGGGGTGCAGTGGCCTGATCATAGCTCACTGCAGCCTTGAATTCTCTGACTCAAGCAATCCTTCAGCCTCACCCTCCTGAGTAGCAGGGGCTACAGGCCAGTGGCACCACACCAGCTCGTTTTATTTTTATTTCACAGAGACACAGTCTCGCTATGCTGCCCAGGTTGGTCTCAAATTCTTTGGGCTCACGTGATCCTCCCACCTCGGTCTCCTAAAGTGCTGGGATTACAGGCGTGAGTCACCGCCCGCAGCCTCACCTGCCTAAATCTCTTAATGCACAAGGGAAAGGAGCAAGAATTCAGGGGAATACAAAAAAACAAACATACAAAATAGCCCCCAGCACTTCTGAGAAAGATCTGCGGTACAGAAAAGCCGTCCTGAGCGGGTCTGTGTGGAGGGAGGGGACTGCATCTCAGATCCACAGTCCACCCGGGGCTGCAGCACGCTAGTTCTACAGTGTTGGGCCAGGTTGGACCTCCGGCTGGAGGCCTTCCACACCGGAAACACTGGTAGGGCTCCTCTCCAGTGTGGGTTTGAGGGCGGCGGAAGAGCTTGGCACTGTCGCCGAAGCCTGGCTCCGGCCTGGCAGAGCGGTCAGGCCGCTCTGTGCTGCGAGGCCTCCCGGGCTGGCTCAGGGTAGCCTGGGGCCTGAACCGTCTCCCGCGAGTCCCGTCCCGCACTCGCACAGCTTCTGGGCCCCTTCGCCCCCTCCTGCTGAGCTGCCGGCTGGGCGGTTGGCGGAACCTGGGCAACTTCCAGGCCTCCCGGAGGCACTGCAGGCACTGCGGGCAGGGAACGGCCGCTACCGGGGTGCACGCGCTGGGGCTTGGCCAGGTGCACGTGCTGGGCAGCCGCGGCCGCCCTCCGCACACAGGTGTGGCTTTTCGGCGGAGTGGGTCTCCCTGCGCTGGACCGAGGAGGAACTCTGGGTGCAACAGAGGCAAGGCTGCTCCCCGACGTGGGTGTGCCGGTGCGGGAGAAGCTTCCCGCACCCGGAGCAGGAAAAAACTGGCGGACACGGCTGCCCCCAGTTCCCCACCGACGGCGGATTCGCATCTGGGCTTTGCAGGGGATCTGGAAGGGGTGAGTGGAGGAGGGCTGAGGGCGGGCTGCTCCATGCTGGGGAACGTGGGCGATGAGTGAAGGAGACCAGATGGGGCGCGAGGAGGAATCTGGGGAAGGCTGGGTGGAACCAGAGGCTGGAGACTGAGTGGGGGGACAGGATAAAGGAAAGGAAGTCGAGGCAGGAGTGTGGATGGGGGCAGATGTTGAAGGAAGGACCCGGGGCTCCCACAAGGCCGGAGCCCGGAGGTGCTGCCCTGGGCGACTGAGCTGGGTGCGAGGCTGACGCTCTCCACGATTCCACGCCTGCAGGGCTTCTCCCCTGGGTGCGGGAGGACACGCTGGGAGAGGGAGGTCTTCTCACTGACGCTGTCACCGCAACTGCAGCAGCAGAAGAGACGCTCTCCTGTGTGAATTCACTGGTGGCGGATCAGCTTCCACCGGTCCCCCAAAACTTGCTGGCCCTGGGGACAGACGCAGGGCTTTGGCCGAGCCAGCAGCAGAGCTGGCCGCTAAGCCCTTGCTGCACTCCCCACAGACGAATGGCTTCTCCTGAGTAGACTCGCTGGTGCTTGATGAAGTTGGAGCGGACACAGCAGGTCTTGCCGCACTGGGGACAGCGACAAGGCCTCTCGCCAGTCGCTGCGGACCCACCGGTGCTGGAGGAGGGATGCACTCTGAGTAAAACCCCTCCCGCAGGCCCCGCACTTGCAGGGCTGACGGCCCAGGTGAATCTGAGGGCGCTGCAGCAGGTCGGAGCTCTGGCTGAAACGCTTTCCACAGTCAGAGCAGGGGGAAGGCTTCTCGCGAGCAGCGCTTCGGAGATGACCGCTCAGGGAGTAACTGCGCGGGAGGCTCTTGCCGCACTCGGCGCCGCTGTGGGGCCTCTGCCGGACTCAGGCTTCCGGTGGCCAGTAGCTCACAGTCTGGGAGCAGCACCCAGCCCCAGGCCTCAAGGGCTGTCTGGAGAGTTCTCTAATGTAAGACTCTGGGCAATGTCATCTGAAGGTGTTTCCTGAGGCTCTCAGGCATGTCCCTGGGTGTTACCCTCACTAAGTCCGTCCTCTTGGATAAGCTGGTCCTCACTGTTGTGCCCAGTTCCTGCGGAAGGAAAGATTTCAGATCCTGGAACCATCATTCTCTCCACAGGGAGAGAAAACCACAGAAGAATTTTACTACAAACTGCAAAGGAGACTAAGGAGACTGCTTTCCGAATCCTATAATCAATGCTTCTTTATTATTATTTTACTTTTTCCTTTTTTTTTTTTTTTTTTTTTAAAGACAGGGTCTGTCTTTGTTGCCCAGTATGGAATGCAGTGGTACGATCTCTGCTCACTGCAATCTCTGCCTCCCCAGCTCAAGTGATCCTCCCACCTCAGCCTCCCAAGTAGCTGGGACTATAGGTGCACACCAGGTTTTTTTTTTTTTTTTTTGGTAGAAGCCGGTTTTTATAATGTTGCCCAAGCTGTTCTCCAACTCCTGGGCTCAAGAGATTGGCCCGCCTAGGCCACCCAAAATGCTGGGATTACAAGCGTGAGCTACCATGCCCGGCCTCCTATAATCAATGCTTTTTTTTTTTTTCCCAAGAGGGAGTCTTGCTCTGTCACCCAGGCTGGAGTGAAGTGGTGCTATCTATCTTGGTTCGCTGCAACCTCCACCTTCTGGGTTCAAGTGATTCTCCTGCCTCAGCCTCCCCAGTAGCTGGGATTATAGGTGCCTGCCACCATGCCTGGCTAATTTTTTTTTTTGGTTTTTTAGTAGAGACGGGATTTCACCATGTTGAAATTTGTTGGTCTCAAACTCCTGACCTCGTGATCTGCCCACCTTGGCCTCCCAAAGTGCTGGGATTACAGGCGTCAGACACTGCACATGGCCAATCAATCCTTCTTAATAGTAAGATTTATTTTAAAATTTGGATTGTGGTTATAAGACTTTTAGTAGTCTTGGATATTACCATCTTTATCCTGAATGAAAGTGTAGCAAGAGGCTGGGCACAGTGGCTCATGCCTATAATCCCAGCACTTTGGGAGGCTGAGGCCAGAGGATCCCTTGAGCCCAGGAGACCAGCCTGGGCAACAAAGCAAGACCCTGTCTGTATTAAAATTACAAAAGTGTGGTAAGGATCATTTCCTCACTAACCTTGAACATCCAAACACAAACCATCAAAAAGAATCAACTTCAGAAAGCCATTATTGCTTTACTGGTTACGGTGATTAAAAGAAGGAGGCCCCTCGGGTCACAAAGATAATTAACTGATTTGTCACTAACCATATTGAAACTCTTTTTCAAAAAGGGTATAGATAACTTTGTAATTTACAATTTTAACAATCAAATTAGCCAAGAGTAGAGTTTGCAATAGGACTAGAAAATACTCCAGTGGCTCATATATAAGTGGGTTAATTTTATCTATTTTTAGGCCTACTAGGTCTATCAGTCTGGATTTTCCATTACTTGGAAATGGGGGCTGGGGAACAGATGCTTCTGGCCACTCTGAGCCCTGGCTTGATCCTTGGGACTCATCTCTCTCTCTCTCCCTGTTTGTGCGTCACCTCACAGCGGATACCTGGCTCTTATCTCAGGACCTGACCTCCCACTGAGCTCCAAGCCTGCAAAGCATGCTGCCACCCAGGTATTTCCCCCTTAACATCCTGCCATCACTTCAGATGTAACACCCCTATGCCAAAAAATCACTGACTCCTAATTTCACTTATGTTGGTGGCACCAGTTTCATTCTCTTGGACACCTAAGCTTAAAAACGGTGGAACTTCTTTTGAATCATCCCTCTCCTTCCTTCCCTAGAAGTGAGCTACCATCAGTCACCCGGGAAATGCAAATTAAAACCACAGTGAGTGCCCTTATGCACCCACTAAAATCAAGCAGACCGATGATGCTAATTGTTGCTGAGGATATGGAGTCTCACACGTTTGCTGGGGAAATGTAAAATGGCCTGGGCACTTTGTAAACCAGTTTCGGTTAATAGTAAATTAAATGTACACTTACCACATGACTCAATAATTCTACTCTTAGGATTTACCCAAGGAAAATAAAAACGTATGTCCACACAAAGACTTTTTCACAAATGTGCATATCAGCTTTATTCATAATAGGCATAAGCTAGAAACATCCAAATGTCCATCAATGGGTGGAAGAATAAACAAAGTGTGGTTTACCCATGTAACAGAATACTAGCAACAAAGAGGAGCTGCTGTTACCTGCAAGCAATGGATGAATCTCAAAATTATGTTAAACCAGAGAAGCCAGACACAAGAGAATGCATAATATATGATTCAATTTCTGTGAAATTCTATTTCTACAAAAAGCGAAACTTATTAATAGGGGCAGAAAGTAGACCAGTGGTTCTCTGTGGCTGGGTCAGGGAGAGAGCAGCTGACTGCACAGAGCATGAGAGGGTGATGGCAAAGTCCATTCACATCCTGAATGTGGTGATGGTTATGCCCGTGTATACATTCACCAAACCCCAGCAACCTGTACACTTAAAATGGGTGTGTTTTATATATAACTTATACTTCAGTAAGGTGTCGACACAGATAGGCTAAGCTTTTTCAGAGATGTAACACAGGTAGACAGGAGTATCAGTGCTGATTGGCCAACTATCTTTACAAGATTTTATTAAGCTATAAATAAAATGGAATTGAAATAGCCAGGATTTACCGTGTACTTACTATGTGACAGGTGCCATTCTAAGAGTTTCCACATATTGGTTAGACCTCACTACAACTCTCCAGGACACTAACGATTACCCCATTTTACAGATGAAGAAACTGAGGCATAGAAAGGTTAAATAATTTTAAAAAGCCATACATATGGTAAAAACATTTTTGGCTCCAGGGAGCTTCCTCTTTACTACTACGCCACAATACTTCTCATTAGGACAATTTTGAAATAGACACACCCCTTCCTCCATAATTTCATCTCTACAAAAAATATTTTCACATTTGCATATTTTATTCAGGCTTTGCCAACATGCATACTCATTTTAACTACTCCATAATCATAGTTTAGACACAGAGCAAGAGGAAGCCATTCCAAGCAACAGACGAGTCTAATTTTGCTCTCTGAAAGATATACATTTTTTTAACTTATGAACATTTCTCATTCATTCATATTATTTCATAATGATCTATTTTAATGGCTTTTTTGTTTGAAATACCATGTTATATTGTATTAATTTCCTTTATTATTGGAATAGATCATTAGTAGAGATAATGCTGTAATGAGCATCTTCATGGAATGCACAGAGCTTAGTTTTTTCCCCTGTGGAATCCTTTTTTTTTTTGAGACAGAGTCTCAGTCTGTCGCCCAGGCTGCAGTGCAGTGGCGCAATCTCGGCTCACTGCAAGCTCTGCCTCCCCGGTTCCAGCCATTCTCCTGCCTCAGCCTCCCGAGTAGCTGGGACTACAGGCGCCTGCCACCACACCCGCCTAATTTTTTTGTATTTTTAGTAGAGACGGGGTTTCACCATGTTAGCCAGGATGGTCTCGATCTCCTGACCTCTTGATCCGCCCGCCTCGGCCTCCCAAAGTGGTGGGATTACAGGCGTGAGCCACCGCGCCCGGCCTTCCTGTGGAATCTTTTATGTAGGAATCATTCCCAGGAGCGCAGCTGCTGCCCCGTATAAGAAAGGGCCTCTGGCCTCAATAAAGCAGCAGCTTTTATACTACTATGAATGAGCTACTGTTCAATTTGTTAGTGCCTAAGACTGGTCCTGACTCCAGCCATTCATGGTCTTGAGGGCCCTAGGAAGACCAAAGCAATTCCCGCAACTCTCCTCTGGGAGTCAACGGGGACATATTACCGAAATCAGTCCTTGTGCCAATTGAAAGTACCACAGGCTGCCAGAAATTTCCATCTAGTTTTCCACTAGCACCCAACATTCTTCCTGTGACTCTAACTCCTCTCCTACATTCCCTGTCACCAGCCTTGCCCAGGCTTTCCTGATCTCATCCCTAGATGAGTGTGTTTTCCAGTTGGCCTTTTGTGATTTGATTCCCCTCTCTTCCAATGAATGATCTGACACAAGGGCTGTCCAGCATGTTTGTTACTGTAGGGCAGTGCTTCCTGTTTTCACAGCATGGAACCCACAGAAAATGTTACAATTTGAGCAACTCATAGGGATAAAGGGTTGAGACTGCTCCCTACTGGCGGTGCCCGGCCTAGCGCTTCGGGCCACCCTAGGCCCTACCTATCCGGCTCAGGGGTTAAAGCAGTGGTTCTCAGCACTAGCTGCGCATTAGGATTACCTGGGAGCTTTCAAAATTATTTTGCCTGTGCTGTACCCAGGAATAGCAACATACAGCAAAGGTTAAGAACCTTTTTAGCTAAATGGTTATCTGTTTATCCTCAGTTACCTCCACAGCTTATCCTTCTACTACAGTGCCTCCTGAGGAATGGGCACACCGTACAGTATTATTATTGATTATTATTATTAGAGACAGACTCTCCCTCTGTTGCCCAGGCTGGAGTGCAGTGGCACCATCATGGCTCACTGCAGCCTCGACCTCCTGGGCTCAAGCGATCCTCTGTCAATCTCCTGAGTAGCTGGGATCACAGGTGTGCACCACCACACCTGGCTAATTTTTTTTTTTTTTTTTTTTAAATAATTAGTGGAGACAGGATCTCGTTATGTTGCCTACGCTACTCTCAAACTCTTGGGCTCAATCGATCCTCCTGCCTTGGCTTCCCAAAGTGCTGGGATTACAGAGGTGAGCCACAACGCCCAGCAGAATACAGAAGTAAACAACTAAGGTCAAGGCCATGTACTGAGGTGGTCAAGGCCATGAACTGAGGTGTTCAAGGCTCTGAACTGCTGGACTCAATGTCACAAGGTAAATTTTAACCTCACCAAACCCTCTCAGCTTAAGAGTATTTGCTAAGTTCTGAGAAAGAAAACGGGGCGTGTGAAAAGATGGGTGTTCATGCCTATGTGTGTGTGTGTGGGGGGGGGGGGGCGGTGATGCGGTTAAGGGCAGAACTCGGGGAAGGAGGCCGGGATTTTAAGGCGGGCAGGTGTGCTACAGACAGCACTGCCGGAGAATCTCTGGGAAACGGCTCCAGCAGGAGAATGGAGGGTGGACGGCCGCAAAGGCGGCGGAGGTGCTGGCCGCCCCTTCCCTGATAAGACCGATGAGCGTGTGGAGTCCACGGAACGCCCCACCAAGCCTCGCCTGGCGCGGGGTCGGGGGCTCGGCGGTGGCGCGTGTCCAGAGGCGGAGGCAGTGGGCCCGGGCTGCGGCCCTTCGCTTTTTTTTTTTTTTTTTTTTTTGAGGCGGAGTCTCGCTGTGTTCCCCAGGCTGGGGTGCAGCGGTGAGATCTCGGCTCACTGCAACCCCTGCCTCCCGGGTTCAAGCGATTCTTCTGCCTCAGCCTCCCGAGTAGCTTGGACCACAGGCGTACGCCACCGCGCCGCGCCCAGCTAATTTTTGTATTTTTAGTAGAGACGGGGTTTCATCATATTGGCCAGGCTGGTCTCGAACTCCCGACTTCGTGATCCGCCCGCGTCGGCCTCCCAAAGTGCTGGGATTACGGGCGTGAGCCACCGCGCCCGGTCCCTTAGCTCGCTCTTACCCAGTGAGGTACCGTGCCCGCGTACCTCCCGCATGGCACTTGGGCGTGCGGCCGAGCCGGGAGTGCCCCTGCCCCGCGAGCCGCCCCCGAGGGACATGGCGTATTGGAACGCAGCCAGGCACGTAGCTCCGGGAAGGGGACGCGGCGAGGACCCGGCCGCCGCGGGGCCTGCGGGGAAACGTGGTCCCCGCAAGGGACCCTGGGAGCTGGAGGCGTCCAGGCCGGGCGTCCGGGGCCCACGCCCCAGGACCAGGATGCCGGGGGTCTCGGGCGTCCTCCCTAGCTTCAAGCCATAGGGCGCTCCGTATCCAGCCCGCCCTGCTTGCCTCTCGCTTCCCCCAAATACTGCCCCGACCTGTCCCCTGGTCCCCACCAAGACAGGGAGAAACGACCCAGGAAGTGAGGACGCCGCAAACAGCCACCTGAGACCCAACCTCTTCACTCCCTGACCAGGCCAAGGGAGTCGGCGCCATGCGCATGCGCACGTCCCGGCCTCACCGCCTCCCACCTTCCGCGCCTCGACGCGCGTCTTGCCGGGGAACGCAGGGAAGCGAATGACGGCGCGACGGCGACCCCTAGGGGCAGGAGGAGGCTCGAGGAGCCGGGCTGGGGAGCTCCATGGTGCAGGTTGAAGGGGGACATTGGGTCACTGGGCTGGGATTAGGGTAGGGCGAGTGAGGCACTGGCCTCTGGCACAGAATTTAAGGAGGCACCCCAAAATTTAGTAATCAAGATAAACAGACTGGGCACGGTGGCTCACGCCTGTTATCTCAACACTTTGGGAAGCCAAGGCGGGAGGATTGCTTGAGGCCAGGAGTTAGAGATCAGCCTGGGGAACAAAGCGAGACTCCCATCTCTACAAACAAATTTAAAATTTAGCCGGGGTTGGTGGTGGGCGCCTGTGGTCCCAGCTACTCAGGATGCTTAAGTTGGAGGATCACTTGAGCCCAGGAGGTTGAAGCTACAGTGAGCTATGATGGCACCTCTGCACTCCAGCTTGGGCAACAGAGCAAGACCATGTCTCTTAAAAAAAAAAAAAAAAAAACGCCAGACGCGGTGATTCACGCCTGTAATCCCAGCATTTTGGGAGGGCAAGGGTAGTGGATCACTTGAGGTCAAGAATTCGAGACCAGCCTGGCCAACATGGTGAAACTAAAAAAACAAAAATTACTCTACTAAAAATACAAAAGTTCGCCGGGTGTAGTGGCGCACACCTGTAATCCCAGTTACTTAGGAGATTGAGGCAGGAGAATCGCTTGAACCCAGGAGGTGAAGGTTGCATTGAGCCAAGATCATGCCACTGCACTCCAGCCTGGGTGAAAGAGTGAAACCCTGTCTCAAACAACAACAACAACAATAAAACAAAACAAAACAACCCCAAAGTATATTATACACACACCCTACTGAGTTTGATTCCTGTTCCACCAGTTAATAGCTGTGGGAGTTTGGGCAGTTTGGTGAGTCTAATCTCTGTATCTCAATTTCTTCATCTGTAACATGGCAATAATAACAGCACCTACCTACCTCATAAGGTTGCTGGGAAGATTCAAGGAGATAAGCCACGTGAAGAGCTTAGCACAATGTCTGGTTCATGGTAAGTGTTCAGTGAATGTTAGTCAGTTGGTAGCTATGGCAGCCATCTGCTGAGATAGTTCCCAGTGATCCTACTCCTGGTGTTCACACCCTTGTTAGTACCTTCCCACAGTGCACCAGGGTTGGTCTTTGTGACCTGTGGAATACTACAGAAGGAGTTTCTTTCTTTCTCTTCTCTTTCTTTTTTTTTTCTCTCTCTCTTTCTTTTTTTGTTTTTTTTTTTTGTTTTTTGTTTTTGTTTTTGTTTTTGACAGAGCTCTATCACACAGGCTCTAGTACAGTGGTGTGATCTCAGCTCACTGCAACCTCCATCTCCTGGGTTCAAGCGATTCTTGTGCCTCAGCCTCCCAAGTAGTTGGGATTACACACACAGCCACCACACCTGGCTAATTTTTGTAATTTTAGTAGAGATGGGGTTTTGCTATGTTGGCCAGGCTGGTCTCGAACTCCTGACCTTAGGTGATCCACCCACCTCAGCCTCCCA